TTTGTGACCGGCTACCATGGGACTGCATCTCCTTACAATGCTCCACTGCCTTATGGACCAGACCTTCAGGTCGAAGGCTCCGTGTTTGGCTCCCTAAGAAAACCACTTACTTCGGTCTGGGCACCCGGGAAGTATCACAGCCCTCACACATATCAAATGAGATTTATGTGGTGCATATATATTTGGTGCCTCCTTATACCAATATCTATGTGTTAAAATAAATAATATGTAATTATCAAGTCACACTGATTATATTGAATTTTTATTTACTAAGGTTATGATGTAATTTGTTGACCACCATTGAAAACCTGGAAGCACTGGACGGCCGTTCCGTCCTATTGTGGGACTCCTCAGCAGTGCGCATCCACGATCCCACGCGAGGGATTCGAACACAGGGCCTTCAGTCTTGCGCGTGAACGCTTAACCTACTGGACCACTGAGACGGCATCCAATGGTGTTAATGTCTAACTTCAACCAATCCACGAAATCGCGTGATCATCTTCCTTTGCATTGTGGTAGATACTTGTCTCTACCCGACACGGATTAGCTCTACTGGTCGTGGCTTCTCACGAAACGGCTGTCCAGTGGTTTTAGGTTTTCAATGATGGTCTAACATCAATCGGTTCATGATCTCCATCAAAAACTTGATAATCACAATCCCTATACTGCATATTATACAAAAGTTAATATACTCTGAACAGATATGGAAAGTGGGCACCCACAGTCCCTCTCACGACATTCGAACCCAGAACCTATTAGCCTTGCACACAATCGCTTACCTTCTAGACTACTAAGCCGGCATCAAATGATATTAATGTCTAATATGTCTAATATGAGTATTAGTATTAGTATTGTTAGCAGTATTGGTGTTAGTATTAGTACCATTATTATTAGTACTAGTATTATTAGTAGTGTTATCAACAGTAGTATCGTTAGTATTAGTATTATTAGTAGTATCAGTACTATTAGTATTGGCAGTATCAGTATTATCAATACTATTAGTATTAGTATGAGTGTCACTAGTAATAGCAAAAGTATTATTACTAGTAGTATTATTAGTACTAGTATTAGTAGTGTGAGCATTGGTATTATCAGTATTAACATTATTCGTATGAGTGTTACTACTATTATTAGCACCGGTATTAGTATTAGTATTGGTATTGATATTACTAGTATCAGTATTATTAGTATTGTTGTAGTGAACAAGAACAAGAGTGGAGATAATCGAATGTATTTGAGCACAAAATTACAGAGCATCTCAATAAAATCTGAGAACCATATATAGTAAATAGTTCATTTGCAAAATATCATTGTTCATGTAATTTCATACCAATTGCATTGAGTTCCCTTTCTTTCCTTCTCGATCTTCGACTGAAATACATTCTATGGCTGACCACCGTCATATACTACTTGTGTAGATATAAGTAACACCACACTCGTCCCCCTTCCCCTTTAAAGCATTCGTTCTTGCAGTGGTTCTGCTCGCCGTGCTACTTTCTTCTTTTCTGCAGTCCGTGCCACACTCTCCGTTAAAATGTCGAGTCTGCGGCACACTGACCTCCATAGCTCCGTCGACCTTTCGGGGCTACAACATCCGACAACCTCCCGGCATCCTGGGCGTTCGACGCCTGCGCTCGAGCGGCCTGCTGAGTCATCTACATCCGACGTCCGCCCAGCATCCTCATTTTCCGCCGCTCCTCTCTGTCGACAGCACTTGCCACAGCCGACGCAATATCAATTACGCTCCGTTCCCGTTCTTTCCTCATCGATCTTCTACTGAAATACATTCTATGGCTGACCACCGTTATATACTACTTGTGTGCATATAAGTAACTCACATCACAGTATTACTAGTATTATTATTATTATATAATGAATAATAAATCAAATTAAGTTGTTTACATTGAATGAATTACAAATAGCAAGTAATTTATGTAAACATTGAATTAGATTAAATAATCTTATTTTGTTTTGATGTATTTCATCATAAACAATTACATAATTTAAATGAATGAATGAATGAAACAATTAAGGAATGAATAAGGTAATTTGAATAAAAACAACCATTTATAAATATTCTCAATGAGAAGTTCATTCATAAACTAAATTAAAACAATTAAAAAGTTAGATGGTGGTTGGAGGTAGTCAATAGGAAACCCTGGACCCGGGTTTCGTGCTACTTGGCACTCGTCAGCAAGGTTTACCTGTAATCTTGAGGGAACTGGTGCTCCCTGGCGGATTCGATCTCGTGTCACCCAGCTTCACAGTCATAGACGTTACCACTGAGCTATCCGAGCCGTGACTAACCTCCTGTAGGACTGAGATGTAATCACAATTGATTGATCACTGGGTGGTGATCAATCTCATGCTTGTCTAGTCCTTATTAGTGCAGATCGAATGCTATCGATCATGTTGCAATGTGGCCATCAGTCTAGGTGACTCGACACTGCGGGCACTATGTATTGATTGACTACCTCCAACCACCATCTAATCTCAATACATAGTGCCCGCGGTGTCGAGTCACCTAGACTGGTGGCCACATTGCAACATGATCGATAGCATTCGATCTGCACTAATAAGGACTAGACAGGCATGAGATTGATCACCACCCAGTGATCAATCAATTGTGATTACAATTAAAAGTATTAGATAAGATGTTTAGTTATAGTTTCTAATTCATTGTATAGTATATCCGGCGCTTTAACCGGATCCCAAACCAATGATTCACATGGGTTCCAGTAACCTGAGGGAACAAATGGCGTGTGAACCAATTATTGATCACCGGCTACCATGGGACTGCATCTTTTTACGATGCTCCACTGCCTTGTGGATCAGACCTTCAGGTCGAAGGCTCGGGTGTGGCCCCCTAAGTAAACCACCTTCTTCGGTTTGAGCACTCGGGCAGTATCACAGCCCTCACACATATCAAATGAGATCTGTGTGGTGCATATATATTTGGTGCCTCCTTGTACCAATATCTATGTGTTAAAATAAATAAATATATACTACTGATATCGACAGTTATATAAGTAGTGTGTATCATTAGTTGTAAATGAAATATCTAGAGGTAGAAGGTTAAGAAAATCAAAGAGAAGAGAATGAGAACATAGAGTGATTGATGTAGAAATGAAGGAACAATGAAGTCTAAGACAATTGATCAACATTAGATTATAATTGCAATGTTTTAAGTGTTAATAGTTGAGATTATGAGTTAATTGAAGCTAGACCATCATGGAAAACCTAGAAGCACTGGATGACCATTTCGTCCTAGTGTAGGAATCTTCAGCAGTGTGCATCCACAATCCTGCCTCACGAGATTCGAAATCAGAACCTATTAGTCTCGTATATGAGCACTTAACCTTCAAATCACTGAACTTACTGGTATCCAACGATGTGAATGTTTAAATTCAATTAATCCACGAAATTTGTGCGACACATTCACTATCGTCCTCAATTAGTTACTATCTCACAACAAACCTGGTTGAACTTCACTGGTCAATGCTTTTAAGAAATGATGAATATTGAAGAATAGATATCAACCAATCACTGATTAGTAAACACTGTTATGATTGTTTATTCATTTAGTATTGATGAAATTCTGTTAATTAAATTGAATAATAATAATAATAATAATAATAATAATATACTTGTCAACTACAAATTACAATATGCATTACTCATATGGAGTTCATTCACACGAGAATTTAGTCAGGTATAACTAATGGTCATAAATAATGATGAGATAATTAGTATAGGGGTTGTGGAGATTATTAAGTTTTTGATTGAGATCATGAACCGATTGATGTTAGACCACCTTTCGAAACCTGGAAGCACTGGACGGCCGTTCCGTCCTATTGTGGGACTCAGCACTGCGCACCCACGATTCCACTCGCGGGATTCGAACCCAGGGCCTTCGGTCTCGCGCGCGAACGCTTAATCTACTGGATCACTGAGCCGGCATCCAATGTTGATAGTGTCTAACATCAACCAATCCACGAAATTGCGCGACCAACTTCCATTGTACTGAGGTAGATACTTGTCTCAACCCGACATGGATTAGCTCCACTGGTCATGGCCTCACACTAGAACTCCGAGAATTCCCTCACGAAGCTATTCGCTAGCGAGCACATGTTGAGATAATCATATAGAATTAATTGAATTTAGAAATATGAATGATTTTGATTATGATCATATGGTTTAAACGTAAAATAATCATCATTCTTGATCCGGTTACCAATGGGATTAAGGTTAAGAAGTGTTGAAGTGTGTAAAAATGTAGATGGAAATTCTTCTCCAGAATCATGCACCAAAAATGTTTAATAGTTACTTCATTGTACAATCAAATGGCTATCAGGACTCAGTAGCTAGATGGATAACTTAATGGTGTTTGAAGCGAATGATATTGAGTTCGAGTCTTAGAATGAACATCAACAAGTCTGAGATGTAGGTACATTCAACTGACGAGTTCCAAATGGGACAAAACGTGCGTTCTGGATTCCATACAATGAACTATTGAGCAGTGTACTCATCATTTAACAGGTAGATAAATATTTTATTTGTGTTACAACAAGGTTTCATTCGACAGATTTCATGTATTTCATATACATACAACTATTTTTGCTACAAGCAAAGATGGATAGTGGATGACAATGGAATTCAAAACACACTCCACTTCGTCCTATTCAGGACTCGTCAACCCGATGTACTTGCATTAGTGAATTGATGTTCACTCTGCGATTCGAACCCAGTATCGTTCACTTCAAACAATATAGGACTTTCCGTTTAACTAGCCACTATCCATCTATGCTTATAATACTTGTAACTTAAGACAATATTGAGGCAGTTCGCACAGGATACACAGATGTCAATAAGAGACAGATGATCAATTACAATCCTAAAGAGATCCATGGGAAGATACCAGGAAACAACATCAATTGAAAGATCCTTAATGTTCTTTTTTGAAAGAATAGATCTAACTTATGAATTTGTTTTTATTACAGTTTCATTTGGTGTTCAATTTATTACGGTAGCGTAGCAAATCAATTATTGACCAAACTGAATGAATTACGCGCTAAAGATTTCTATACTTCTGATTCAGTATCTAATAATAATGAATTAGAGATACATCATGTAGTTTGGCTTAAAATCCCTTTTCCAACCAGAATAGAAAACATTGACGACAGGAGTGAAACAATGAATGATGCAAATGAGAAATTACAATCGCAAACTGTTCATGATGATATAAATATGATCAATTTACTATCAATGTTATATTATATAGTTTTACCAATATCCTATGAATATGAACCAGATCTAATTTATCTATTGAATGGATCTAATAAAATGAAAAATGTAAGTTCTGATTATAAATAATTCTAATAGTTAAGATCATGAGTCATTTGAAGGTGGATGTCCGTTTCATTCTATTGTGAAACTTCACAGCAGTGCGCATTCATGATCTCATCTCGTGCGGTTCGAACCCAGGATCTATCGGTCTCGTACGCGAACGGGCATCCGGTGAAGCAGGATCGTGGATGCGCACTACTGAGGAGTTCAACAATGGGACGAAACGGCCATCTAGTGCTTCCAAGTTTTTAATGATGGTCTACCTTTAATTGACTCATGATATCAACAACTAAAACTACTATACTATCCAAATGAGCCCCTTCTGATTATAAATAATTCGTTTAAGATTGGAAAAAAAATTACGTCGTAGGTTACAAAGTTACAAGACTTATTGTCAATGAAGATTTTTATGCTGATTTTGTCTTTGAATAATGATTAATAGACGGATCGTTTGACTTAGTTAGTTAGGTGTCAGACTTGTAAATTAAAAGTAGTTTGTTTGAATAAAACCTGTAGAAAGATGATGATGATATGTAAGCTTGATATCATTCATAGTGAATTAAAGTATCCTGACTATTGTTTGGTTTAAATTATATTTTCTGGTTAGAGTATTTTTTTAAGGAATTGAGTCGCTAACCCTATGCCCAACCCTGCTTTTTTATCTGGGCTTGGGACCGGCATTGGCCCCAGAGGAGCTCCAAGCAGAGCACCACTAATGAACACGGTGTATCTGATACAGATGTTAAGCTGCGGATCGGCAAAGCAAGAGTAGCATATATACGAATGAAGAATATCTGGAAGTCAAAACAACTATCTGTCAAACAACACCAAAGTCAGAAGTTTCAATACAAATGTCAAGACAGTTCTACTGTATGCGGCGGAAACATGGATAACTACGAAAGCCATCATCCACAACATACAAGTGTTTGTTCACAGTTGTCTATGCAAAATATTTCGGATACGTTGGTCAGACACTACACTATTGGCAACAACCTACTATAGGAGAGAACAAACTAGATTTCAGAGGAGGAAGAAATCAGGAAGAGGTGCTGGAAGTGGACAGGACATACATCGAGGAAAACACACAACTACGTCACAAAACAAGCTGTCATCACCTGAAATCCTCAAGGCCAAAGGAAAAGAGGCAAACCAAAGAACACATTCTACCGATAAATAGAGACAGATATGAGAAGAATGAACAATAATTGGATAGATGTAGAAAGGAAGGCTGTGAACAGAATGGGTTGGAGAATGCCGATCAGCGGTCTATGCTCGATTGGGAGTAACAGGCGTAAGTAAGTAAGTAAGATTATAGTCTGGAACGGGTTACATGCTTCAATCCTCTGTCGCTTAAAGTACTACTTGAGTCTTAGTGATAACCTGTATGGTGAGTATAACAGAGTTAAATCATATAGGAATAGAGGAAATTACCCCGTAGTGACATTACAGAATGATTGAGAAACATTATGAATTGGTTGGAAGTTGGAAATATAAACCATAAGATACAAGGTCATTCATCTGAAGGGTAAGCATCGGCTACAAGACCTAGAAGTCTTGGGTTCATTACCTGGTTGGTTCAAATCACTGGCACAAATAATGTGTCTCATCCTGGGACTAAATAGGCATAAAATGATTGTCTATTTAAGGTCTATCCATGATGTAAACTAGAAAAAAATCAATCATTTCCACATCCCTCCCCCACAGTAACAATCTTCTTCTTCTTCTTCTATCCATAGGAATTTGTCACATCTGAAAGCTTAGCTCGAATAATTTATTTAATCAATGGATTAGGTATACCAATATTGATTAATGGATCATCCATAAATGAATTATCTTCAAATTATTTAATACAAAGTTTACAAGGAAAGCCAATATCGATTGGATTCAATAAGTTAACACCAACTTCACCATCGTCAAAGTAAGAAAATAATAAGAATCATCTATTGAATAGTTCAAAGGATAATTCACTGGTTGAAATCATGAGTCAATTGAAGCTAGACCACTATGGAAAACCTGAAAGCACTGGACGGCCGTTTCGTCCTAGTATGAGACTCTTCAGTAGTGCGCATCCACGGTCCCACTCCCCCCCGCGAGATTCGAACCCTGGACCTACCAGTCTCGCGCCAGGCGCTTAACCAACTATCTCACAACAGACCTGGTTGAAATCCACTGGTAATGGAGTCCCACACTAGGACGAAACGGCCGTTCAGTGCTTCCAGGTTTTCCATGGTGGTCTAGCTTCAACTGACTAATGATTTCAACCGGTGAAATTTCTAAAAAGCTTCATAAAACCCATTCTGACAAAGGATATTTATTTAGGAAGATGTTGTGGGGAATTTTGAATTTATTGGTAGTTGTTCTTTATGATCTGACATTAGTCAGGGACACCACCTAAAAAACAGGGAATATTATAAATGTGGAAATGTGAAACCCCATGTCCAACCCTCCTCCTTTATCCGGGCTTGGGACCGGCAGTAACCCCCGGAGGGACTATAGGCGGAGTTGAAATATGAACCATTGGATGTTAATTTAGTGGTTTAAAGGTTAAGGACTTGAGTCGGTAACTAAATACCTTGAGTTCAAACACTGGCATCTAGTCCTGCTTCTTTCTCCCTCTCGATTTGTTTGATGGTCATCCTGATTTTTTCGTTTGCTGGTTGCATGACATATACAGGAAGGTCTGTAGGTGCTGCTTTGATCTCTGATGTGTTCAGTGGGACTGGTTTATTCAAGAGTTCTTCAAACTGTTCCTCTGTTCTTGAATCTCAGTGATTGAATTGCTTTCTTTGTCCTTGGTCTGGTTTACTATATTTCCCTGGCAGTTTCTTCGTCGTGTCATATTGTTGTTTCATAATTCCTTCTCTTGAAGCTTTTCCCTCTGTCGTTGCTAGCTTGTCAGCTCTAATGCTCCTCTTCTCTTGCTTGTTTGCTTCAGTATGTTCAGCTTGTGCCTTGAAATCTCCTGTTCTTGTGTGACTGTTGTTAATTGCTGTCTTCTGGCTCTTCTTTTCTTGAATCCTACCCAATGTTTCGATAGAGATCCACTCGTTACGATGATGCTTCTTGGAGCTCAGAACCTCCTGATACGTTGAGGTTAGTGTTTATTTGATCCCTTTCCAGTTGTCCTCCATAGTAGTTTCTTATTCTGTGAGTAGATCTTGTAAGGCTTGGAACTTGTTGTTGAGAGTTATCTTGAACTCGTTGAGTTTGTCAATATGTCGAAGGAATCCTTTACTGAACCATTGTGATGCTGTTTCTTCGGTTTTCCAATGCTTCTTTAGCTTCATTTTCATTTTAACCACAGCCAGGTGTTGATTTGGATCTATGTCAGCTCCTCTTCAGGTTCTCACATTTTCCATTGACCGTGTGAATTTTTTACTGATGAAAATATAATCTGTCTGATTTTCCGTAATGTGTTTCGGTGAGACTCATGCAGCTTTGTGTAAGCGTTTGTGTGGGAATATTGTGCCACCTATAACGATTTTGTTTAATGCACATCAACTTCCGAATCTCTCACTATTCTCGTTCCTTTCTTCCAGTCAGTCCATATCACCCCCTAATATATTCATACCCGATGTTGTCCATTCCAATTTTGACGTCTAGGTCGTCCACCAAGATTGTGAGGTTCTTTCGTGAGCACTTCGATATGATTGATTGCAGTCTCTCATAAAACTGATCTTTATCGTCGTCATTGTTATCATTCATTGTGATTCCATCCGACTTTGTTTCGAAGGATGCTTTGATGATCATGGATCCATTAGATTCCCATACTGTAAGTGTTTCATGTGCTTCTTTGGATAGCATCAGAGCAACCCCCTGAGTGTGTAAAGCATTTTGTTCTTCGTAACCAGAGTACAACAACATTTCTCCCGAATCTATCTTTTTCTGTCCAATGGGTTCCACTGTTTTCCACTGTTTTTGCAGCTATTTGATTGGTCTTCTCGTTCTTTCACATTATTCGAACATTCTATGTGTCTATATTAATTATTGTTTTGGTTGTTAGAACGGGTATCACCATGAGATGTCGTAATTCTTCTGAATGACGATCATTCAACTCGGAGAGCAGATTTTAAATGGTTGATTGCTTTCGTATTTCTCCAAGTTTCCACCCTTCTCTAATGTATAGGAGGAAAATTTAAACATCGATCCGTAATGGATATCATCTTGAACTGTTTTGTATTTTCATTTATAAATCTCGTTAGTTATCCATTTTCAGTTGATGCTTTTCATAAATACGTTAATAAGTCTTTCGTGACAGCATGACAGAGAGAGTAACATTTTTTTGAATTACACGTCGAAACACTGACCTAAGAATCAATGCACCAATCGACAGTCCTCCGCTATATCAACTGAGCTATCGACGGACTTGAACCGTATCCTGTCATTCTGTACTTCATTATTCATCATCATGATTAAACTAAACTCTCGTTATTTATATAGTTTATACCATGGACTAATCGTAGTTAAGTTTCAAGATGTAATTCCAGGAATTCTATTGAGATGCCATTTATATCTAGTGTGAGACAGTCATTCACTGAAGCTAAGTAAACATGATCCCGAAATGTCTTCAATTGATTCAAGTTTGATATGTACACTATTAGATATTGGCTTGATTGTTTTGTGGTTATGTTCTAGCTGCGAAATCGAAGATTCAGAGTTCGATCCTCAATGAGGTCGTGAATGTGAACTATTGAGTTCTAATAGTAGGATGGAACAATGCTTCCTAGTTATTAATAACTATCTAATTAAAATCAGTTTGTAATGTAAGCTTTGAGAATTTAATCATCTCGAAAAACTTCAGTATATATATGTAATTGAATACATACCATCTTTTGTCTACTTTATAGAATGAAACGCATTATTCAGCTTATCATACAACAGAACCATCAAAGATGGAAATGTTTAGGATATTTTTGGTAAGTTAGAATGTAGATTATTACTTCATTACATTGTGTAGTGAGTGAGCGAACACCGGGTAGAGTCAGGTATCTACCTCAGTACAATGGAAGATGGTCGCGCGATTTCGTGGGTTGGTTGAGGTTAGACATTAACATCATCGGACACCGGCTGTCTCAGTGGTCTAGTAGGTTGAGCGTTCGCGCGCAAGACTGAAGGACCTCGGTCCAAATCCCACGAGAGGGATCTTGGATGAGCAATGCTGAGGAGTCCCACAATAGGACGAAATGGCTGTCCAGTGCTTCCAGATTTTCAATAGTGATCTCAATCAATAACTTAATAAACTCCACAGCCCTATACTAACAGAAAACACGAAAGTTAAGTAAACACATTATGGTTACATGGTGGTTGGAGGTAGTCAACAGGAAACCCTGGACCCGGGTTTCGTGCTACTTGGCACTCGTCAGCAAGGTTTACCTGTAATCTTGAGGGAACTGGTGCTCCCTGGCGGATCCGATCCCATGTTACCCAGCTTCACAGTCGGAGACGGTACCACTGAGCTATCCGGGCCGCGACTGACCTCCTATAGGACAGCATTTCCAACCTCCAACCACCATCTAATCTTAATATATAGTCCACCCAGTGTCGAGTCACCTAGACTAGTGACCACATTGCAACACGGTCGATAGCATTCGATCTGCACTAAATAAGGACTTGACACACATGACATTGATCACCACCCAGTGATCAATCAATTGTGACATTATGGTTACTGATTATATTTTAAGATAGTAGTAAATAGCTGATTAGAAATCAGCATCTCCTCATACTAAGGACCTGTCAACTGGATAAAACTGTGAAATTCAATAGCGATATTCCTTCAGAGAGTCAAAATTATATACGTCAAATGAAAGAAGTTTATCCATTAGGTTACTACTGAATTACTAATTTGCTCAGCATTCAAGGTATAGTGGTTGAATAATTCGACCTTTAACAATTCGGTCATCAACTCAAACCCAGGTCCTCTTGAATCAGTTTAGCCAATCTAGTAGTTAGTGTGAGGAATTAGTGGAAATTGTTTATTTGCTTACATTATGGATTGAATTCAGTCGAGCAACCACTGAAAATCAGAAAGCACTAGTTAGTTGTTTCTTTCAATTTTAAGATTCAAACTATACAATTCAATAAGCCCTACAAACCTCCTACATTAGTAATTAGTAATTATGCCCTCACTAATGACTAATTTCAAGATGTGATTCTCTTGGCTCTGTGAGAGACTCTATATTCAATGAAGTTCAACAATATCTGGTTTGAGGCAATTACTCAACTATATCGTTGAAATATAGTTACATAATGTCATAGGTTGATTGAAGTTAGACACATTAATCATTGGTAACCGACTTATAGGTCGAAATTTTAAACACTCATTACGGGACTTAAAAGTCCTGGGTTCGATCACTGATGTGGTTGTGCGTCTGCATTGTCACTCATGAGTCCTATACAAGGGTGAAACAGGTGTTCTGTTTATTATTTATTTACTTGAACATATAAACATTGGTACAGGGGGGGGTACTAATTACATATGCGTGACACAATAACAACGAGGCCAGTAGTATTTATCATTCATTTTTATAAGGGTTGAGATACTGCCAGGGTGCCCAAACCGAAGCAGGTGGTTTTCATAGGAGGCCACACCTGGAGCCTTTGACCAAAAGGTCTAATCCATAAGGAAATGTGATCCCATGGTAGTCGATGACGAACAATAGGTTCATACACTTTTGATTCCCTCAAGATCCTGAATCCCATGTTCATCATTGATTTGGAATCAGGGTTTTTCAATCCCCCATAGGTAGACCCTCCGTGTACAATGTTTACTGGTTTGATGTGCTTATATAAAGAATCTACTTATATCTTCAACCCTTACAATAACTATATGAGGAAATGTTGGGTAAAAAGTCTGTGCTTTGTGGACGAATCAGTGGCGGAATATCCCTTACAACTGGTTCTAATATTACTGTTCATCTTAATTTTATTCTTCTTTCCATTGTTGAATGGGCTTTTCTGTTTTATTCTTTTATACATTTCAGAACTGTTGCTAAAATGAATCAATGTACCAGTAATGCAAATTTATAAACGACTGCTTTTTATTGCAACCTTATAAGAAATGTATTGAATTTACTAATATCTTCTTACTTAATAAAATACTTAAACTATTTATGTGTGTTTAATGTATTGTGAATACAGCTCAATCCTGCAGAAGCTCAGTCGCCGCCTGGATAGCCTAGTGGTAATGTCTCTAACTGTGAAGTTGGGTAACATGGGACTGAATCCGTCAGAGAGCATCAGTCCTCTCAAGATTACAGGTAAACCTTCCTGACGAGTACCAAATGGCACAAAGCCTAGGTCCAGGATTTCCTGTTGACTACCTCCAACCATCATCTTATCTCAACATAGTGCACGCAATGTCGAGTCACCTGTACTGGTGGCCACAGTGCAACTCGGTCGATAGGATTCGATCTGTACTAAGAAGGACCTGACATACATGAAATTGATCACCATCCAAAGATCAATCAATGGTGAACGTATCGGTTTAATGTTCATTTTTCAGATTAAAGATTTATGATGGTCAGCTCAAAGTGAAGTTTATTCTTGTCATTGATGAATGTTAGTTGACGGGCCATTGAAAACTAGAAGGAGTATTATATAGCAGTTTCGTAGTAGTTTGAGACTGCTTGGTAGTAGATACCTATGTCCTTGGTATGGAATAAACCTAAGATAATTCGGTCTCGGGATAAGTCTTTAACCCTTACATCACTGAGATGATATCTAGTGTTTTACATTTCTAACTTTAATTGATTTGTGATCTAGCGTGACAGTAATTCACTATCATTAATTGGTGATCACCATCTCACTCCACTAAATCAAAACTGTTTACTGGAACTTTGAGAACTCACCCTGAAGCAAGGTATCAATGAGGATACTGTAATATATGACTATTGAGATATTTTGTTGTAATTATTTTGATTTATGGGTGGTATTTATACAGAATTGAAAATCAGACAAAACATGGGACACCTCATTAGTGCTCATTCAAGACCGTATAACAAAACCTTTAGATATTTGGGCAGAATCATTGATGAACACAGTGGATCTGATACAGATGTTAAGGTGCGGATCGGCAAAGCAAGAGTAGCATATATACAACTGAAGAATATTGGGAACTCAAAACAACTGTCTGTCAAACAACACCAAAGTCAGAAGTTTCAATACAAATGTCAAGACAGTTCTACTGTATGGGGCGGAAACATAGAGAACTACGAAAGCCATCATTCACAACATACAAGTGTTTATTCACAGTTGTCTATGCGAAATATTTCGGATCCGTCGGCCAGACACTAAACTATCAGCAACAACCTACTGTGAGAGAGAACAAACCACATTCCAGTGGAAGAAGAAATCAGGAAGAGGTGCTGGAAGTGGATAGGACAAACAATGAGGAATGCACACAACTGCGTTACAAGGCAAGTTCTCATCACTTGTAATCCTCAAGGCCAGAGGAGAAGAGGCAAACCAAAGAACACATTCCACCGAGAAAAAGAGGCAAATATGAGAAGAATGAGCAACAATTGTATATAACTAGAAAGGAAGGCTGCGGACAGTATAAGTTGGAGAATGCTGGTCGGCGGTCTATGCTCGATTGTGATTAACAGGCGCAAGTAGGTAAGTATCAAAGATGAATTTCTGGAATTCTACGTAGATATCATACCTGGTAAGGCTCAAACATATCGAAAATGAAATTGTTATTATCAATAGTATTGGGAAATTATCATGCAGATCGTTCAGTTCTATGGTTGAATTTCACAGTTCATGTCTACCAGACTACAAGGTCATAGGTTGAATCTCATCTAAGCTCATGTATTTCCAATCGTAAGAAGTTCTAAATGAAAAGGAAACAACTATTCAGTGTATGTTGATTTTTCAAAATGATGATCTAAAGTGTATCAACTTGTGCTGGTGTTAACTCTCATATTGTTAATGACTAACAGTCATCAAACAAATCGAAAATATAGAAAGTTATTATATTGGTCATTTCTGATTACTTTCGGGTGAAATTCTATCAGAAGTTGGCTTTTGACAATATTACGTTTGTCATTGGATCAATTCATGAAACACTATGAGGAAAGTTATTCTAGGCTCAACTTGATATGTTAAATAGTTGAATGTATCGAGTTAAAACCCTGAAGATTAGTTTTGTAACGGTTAACCCTTGTCAGAAAAGGTTACTCTCAGTTTCGAGAGAACTAATATTCTCTATTAGATTTAAATACTTATTGAAGTGTTATGACCTGAAACACTAACACTAAGCTATTCAAAAACTCTACATTCAATGAGTGCTCAAGATTGTATATCATATCATAATAAGCTTTCTTGACCAAAACATTCATTTCATTTAGATCTCATGATGTCAAGTAGATTAGCTGAAGAGTGATAAGACAAAAAGCTGAAAATTGAAAGTCAAAAAGAAATATACACCTAAATGAACAAGAATGTGTCAACCATTAAACATTACCTTCAACTATACTGTATTCCCACAAATTGAGGTGAAGGCTAGTAAATTTGAACTCACCTCATCCTTCCCTATGAATTCCTATCTTTGATGGTAGAACTTGAAAATTAAGAATCTAACATATATAAAACTACTTATAGAAAGTTTGTGAATGACGGATATCAAGTAGTTATCCTTTGGGCTCTATGATCAAAGTCTCAAGTTACCAAGTATTATGTCCCGATAAGCATAATGAATGGTAACTTTTGGGATCCTTTTTATGGACCAATACTAAACGTATATTTTTATCACATAATTGTTAAATAACTTACTTACTTACTTACTTACGCCTGTTACTCCTCGTGAAGGAGCATAGGCCGCTCACCAGCATTCTCCATCCAACCCTGTCCTGGGCAATCCTTTCTAGCTCCTTCCAGTTGTAATTCATCGCTTTCATATCTGCTTCTATCATCCGACGCAATGTGTTCTTTGGCCTTCCTCTTTTTCGCTTCCCTTCAGGATTCCAAGTTAGGGCTTGCCTCGTGATGCAGTTCGACGATTTGCGTAATGTATGTCCTATCCATTTCCATTGTCTTTTCCTAATTTCTTCTTCAGCTGGAAGTTAAATAACTAAACTATTCATATTCATGTCTCTCTTATTATGAGCGTTATTTTGACCTATGAACTATTATTATACGATTTACCATTCTTGAATTATGCCCTGTCTATTAATTACTACCTCCCTCACTCATAGCCACATTTAGCTAGATCTTGTACAAATGTTGTTTCCTATTTTATTGGTACGATATGGTCTGTCTGGTTGGTATATAAACCCAGAATGTTTGAAATATAAGGATTCATATTGCAGAGGCTAAGATTGGTGTACTGGATTTAACTGGTTTGGGCTAGGCGGAAAGCAGGATCACTCAGGACTCTAGACTACTCGCACAGGTTTTATGACTTCATTGGTCCGATCGATAATTCACTGCACTCTGATTGGCGGTATTGTTGCGTTATACAATAAATAGGTTACATAGGTTCACAAGTTATAACACTAAGACTGTTGTTCATTCAAATTTTTGAGATATCTCCATAATGATCTTGTTAGTTGCTGGTTGTAATATCATACATTCGAAAGAAAGGAAGTCACCCAAATAAGTAATATTATTGTTTATCTATAAACTCCTTATTCATACAAAATTACTAATGAAGAAATTTACATTATATATATATGTATATGCATGTATTTGAATATGTGCAAATCAAAATAAGTAATTCAGTAGTATATATATAAAAAGAGAAAGAATAAAAGAATGATAACAATGAAATGAACAATACTGAGAAATCATTTCAAACACTTTCTATATTGATCTATAATATGATTATGTAACTGATCAGTCAATCATCAATCAGTTACCATCTAGGATCAGGGTATTGATTCAAGTTGTTATATCTCATGAGTACAACGAGATGAACACCAGATTCATATGTATATATATATAGATGTCAGTGGGATAGAAGGCTTCATCAAGAAGAGGTAAACAAAAGAAAATATCAAAGATGATATCAGTTCTTTGTTTTAATAATTGAATTTCTATGAATCAATTAAAGTTAGATTAGCATAGAAAACCTAATAATATTGGATGGCTGTTTCATCCTGTTGACAAGTTCCCTACTAGAACGAAACAACCATCTAATACGTTCATGTTTTTTTTATGATGATCTAACTTTAATTGACTTATAAAATTTCAAATCCCCCCCACCCTTTCTCTGATTATTTCCTATTTTGTTTTGTTTCCAAGAGAGATAAAGAGAGAGAGAGGGGGGGAGGAGAAAAAAGAAAAGATTAAAACAAATGCATCATCATCACCATCATAACATATTGATTAGTTAGAATGAGTACAATGTGAAAGAACTACCACAGCAACAACAGCAACAATAACAACAACAAAATGCAAATCAAAAGCATAAATCATATTCTATTCCTTTTAATGATTTAAATCAATTAATCAATATATGAAAATGATAAATCTTATCCTCATAAGGCATATTGAAAATCATCACGGATCATTCAATGTATGTAATGAACATATAAGTAGTACAATGAGTAGTATATAAATATATATTGAATAAAAGAGTAGTTCAGCAGTAAAAACACCACATTATCGGTTAGAATATCATTTCCCGCTAAAAACAAAACAAACCGCGGAAAATATGAAAAAAAGAGAAGAAAGGAAACAAGAGATAATATAACTATCTGAATTGTTATTGTTGCTAAGTATTCACATACAAAAAAAGAAAGAAAGAAGGGAAACAAGAATCGTATAAAAATTTGAAGTAGTAGTAGTAGTAGTAGTGGTAGAAGGAGGAGGAGGAGGAGGAGAAGGAGGAGGTCGTGGTCGTGGTCGTGGTGGAGAAGAAGAAGAGGAAGAAGAAGAAGAAGAAGAAGAAGAAGAGGAAGAAGAAGAAGAAGAAGAGGAGGAAGAAGAAGAAGAAGAAGAAGAAGAAGAAGAAGGAGGAGGAGGGGAAAAAGTTAGCTTTACTGATTTGATTGATGACCTATATATATATGTACAATGAAGTAAAAAGAAGAATTGAATGATATTTCAATGAGTAGGAAAATGTTTTAAATTAGAAAACTGTTGTGATAATGAATTAGTTGAAAGTGGTGTTGTTCTCAATTGAGATGTATTCAATATCATAGGTTGTTGTTTAATTTGTGGATAATAATGATGATCCTGTTGATGATGCAGTGGATATTGTTGATGTTGATGTTGAGGAATAGGAGGGATATGAGATGTCGGTAATGATGATAAATTACGATTACAATCAATTATTGAAGGTATATTCAATGAATGTGTTGATGTTGTTAATACAGGTTGTTGTTGTTGTTGTTGTAAAGCACTTTGCATAGGATAAATGGGATGAATTTGAGAATTTATATTTACATTATTCATATCATTTAATATAATAGATGCTTTTGATATTTCATTAATATTATGATGTTCTATCATACATCCTTTGAATGTATTACTTAAATAATTGTGATGAGTAGTAGTTGTACTACTACAACTAGTAGTAGTAGTAGTATTAATAGTAGTATGACATGATGTAGAACATGTGGATGAAGGAATAGAATGCATAGAATTTAATTGATCTTCTAATTTTTTAATACGTGTTGTATATTTATGTTTTATTTTATCAAATGCTTTAATTAATGCACTATTAGCACGTTTTAAATCATTCACTAATTCTTCACTTTGTATTTGTTGTATTTCTGTACTACTACGTAATGCTTCAAGAGCTTGTAATAAATTCTATAAATGAGAAGAAACAAGAAGAAAAAAAGAAAGAAAACAAACAACATACACAAAGCGGGAGAATCAAGATCATGAAATACAACCCAAGGGTGATGGTGAAGATTTATAGCTCAGCTGGATGATTTTGATGGAGTATTGTTCTCTGAGCTGGATGGTTTAGTTGTGGAGCTTTCATCATCAGCACAAACTTCAGACAGAAGTGAAGTGTTCGAATTTCTCTATATACATTTCACAGCTTGTTCTGTACACCTCACCGTTGATTGGTTCTTATTGATCTTAAATTTGTCATTGTTTACTCCTTTGTTTTGGTTGTGTTTCCCAAGGAACACTAATTCAATCATACTTTATACAGAAACTCTGGACGTTAGTCAGTCAGTCAGTTAAAACGTAAAATCAAGCACATACATGGATTGGTCCAAGTTGCTATACCTCATTACTACAGCAAGATGAATACCGGATTCATAGAAGTAGTTGACTCAATGGTGTAATATGTAAAGGAAAGATTTTATGTAGGGATATTGTACAGTATAGTCAAGCGAACCGCAACCAAGTAGTTTGCATCTAACAATATGGCTCAGGCTAGAAGTTGGTGACTTCAAGCATTAATGTCACATTTCGGTTTGTCCATCCCTGACTTTCTCCCAACCATTCCCAACACTAGTCAGCATTGCGCGTCGTGGTAATCAGTGTTCAAGCATACGTAACATGTAGCCGAATCATCTCAGTTGATGAAGATTCACAACTTCATCAACTGATTTACCATCATTCCCTAATACCTTGCGTCTAAACTCTGGAAGAGGTGAAAACTTTCAAGTACCTGAGTAGCATCATCGATAAACAAGGAGGATCTCATGTAGATGTAAAGGCAAGGATTGGCAAAGTAAAAGGAACATTCCTACAGTTAAATAACATATGGAACTCAAAACACAACTCTCAAACAATATCAAATTCATAATCTTCAATACAAACCTCAAGACGGTTAATTCTACTGTACGGAGCTGAATGTTAGAGAACTACCACAATCATCATCAAACTAGTACAAGTAATTATAAACAATTCTCTACTCAAAATACTCGATGTCTGTCGATCGGATACCATCAGCAATAGACTACGGTGGGAGAGAATAAACTAGCTTTGAGCTGAATAAGAAATTAGGAAAAGACATTAGAAGTGGATAGGACATACATTATGGAAATCATCAAACTGCACCACGACTCAAGCGTTTGCCTGAAATCCTGGAAGGGAACAGAAAGGAGGAAGACCAAGAAGCATAATAGGTTGGGAATAGAAAGCAGATATCAAGAGAATGTGTAACAAGTGGAAAGATCACGTTAATTTGCATTCAATATAATTATGATAAACCAAGTAGATGAACGTTTATTCTATATATTGATTTTTATTGAAATCAATAATCGATCAATATAAAAATACCGCAGAAAACCTAGAAATATTGAATCGTCGTTTCGTCTTAGTATAGAACTCTTCAACAGTGTGCATCCATCATGTGTTCACAAGTGACTAGGTTCGACAAAAATTCTCAAAAATGTATTTAGAGGCCATCACTAGTAGAGATAAACAATGTCCAGAGTGAGGTAGTTGCCCAATGACGACAATAGAAGATGACCACGCGACATTGTCGATTGGTTAAAGTTAAATATAAACACTGTTGCATCCCGAGTCAGTGGTCTAGAGATTAGGTATTTGCGTGCGAAACTCAGGGTGTTGATTTCAATTTTCATGTGCGGTATGGTGGATGTTCACTGCTTCTGATGATCGACTGAATTATGAAGGCGGGGAAGCATGGGATACAGTGAACGGCTAGCATGCAGCTAGCCGACCTATACTTCGCAGATGGTCCGGTTCTTCTACTGCACACGCAACAACAAATGTAGGAAAAGACGACAAGTGTAGCAGCAGTAGGTCTCAACATACACAAAGGAAAAAGCAAGATCCTCCGATAAAACACAACATACACCAATCAAATCACACTTGACGGAGAAGATTTGGAAGATGCAAAATCCTTTATGTATCTGGGCAGCATCATTGATGAACACGGTGGATCTGATACAGATGTTAAGCTGTGGATCGGTAAAGCAAGAGTAGCATATATACAATTGAAGAATATCTGGAAGTCGAAACAACTGTCTGTCAAACAACACGAAAGTCGGAATTTTCAATACAAATTTCAAGACAGTTCTACTGTATGCGGCGGAAACATGGAGAACTACGAAAGCCATCATCCACAACATACAAATGTTCTTTGACAGTTGTCTCCGTTGACCAGACACTACACTACTGTGAGAGAGAACAAACTAGATTTCAGAAGAGGAAGAAATCAGGAAGTAGTGCTGGAAATGGATGTGACACACACTGAGGAAAGCACCGAACTGCGTCACAAAGCAAGCTCTCATCATCTGAAACCCTCAAGGCCAAAGGAGATGAGGAAAATCAAAGAACACATTCCACCGAGAAAAAGAGACAAATATGAGAAGGATGAACAATAATTGGATAGAGCTAGAAAGGAAGGTTACGGACAGAGTGGATTTGAGTATGCTGAGCAGCGGCCTATACTCCCTCGGGGTAAAAAAAAAACGTAAGTCACTTCTGAGGAGTCTTGTACTAATACGAAATGTCTATCCAATGTTTTCAGGTTTTCAATGATTCAATAAAATTTAATAATCATAATTGAATGTAAATTATTAATTCAGTATATATACGTAAATAGTTTACCTTGACTTGACCTCTTAATAAAACTATTTCATTTTGATTAATATTCTGTATAGATTGATTGGTTAATGTTGTTGTTATTCCTGTTCCTGTTGTTGTTGCTGTTGTCGTCGTCGTCGTCGACGTCGCCATTGTTGTTGTTTGTGATAATTTTAACTTATTATCATTTAATATTGAATATTGATTATTTTGTTCAATAATTAATGCATCAAGATGAGCACGTAATGCACGTTCAGCAACAGTACGACTATCTAATGTTAGACGATTAGCATGTAATTCTTTTTCAAGTAAATATACACGAATTTTAAGATCAGCACATTCTTCTTTAATACAACATAATTCCTAAATAAATCAACAAATTAATCAATATTATTTCATTATAAAATGAAAACAATTTTAAATATATGAAATAATGAATATCCGACCGTTGTTGCTAAGTTGATATGGTGATCGAGCTTGTCTATTGTGATGAATCAATCGAGTTATACTGACTGGATCAATTGTTCCACAAGGTATTACCATACCAGACAAGTCGGCTGAAGAGCGCTAAAACTAAAAACAACAAACTCAAGGTCCGAAGGCGAACTTGTACTACTGGCTGTACAGAGGTATGATGGTAGTAAGATGTTTCCCTCAGACAACCAGCATAACAGCGATGCTGCCTTCCCACAAAGGAGGGGGTGAGGTCAGAAAAGGTGGACTCTAGAAATGCACATATCACCTTATCCCACGGATATCAATCTCCGGCGGAAAGGTTTCAATAAAAACGGAGCTAACACGAAAATTACTCACAAAAAGGGTATATGTGACGGACCTCAAGCAGTTGTACTTTGAGCACTTCGGTCACATTCTCAGATAAATAAGACCATCCTCTAGTCCAATTTCCTTTTCAGGTACCTCCAGAAGAACTCTTCCATGGTGTGGGCAACTGGAAAGTGATAACTGCCCTTTCATTGAAATCATGAAGTGATCAATGCTAGACCATCATTCGAAACCTGGAAGCACTGGATAGTCATTTCGTATTAGTACGGGACTCCTCAGAAGTGAGTATCCACCATACCGTTCATGGAAATCGAACTCAAAACCTTCGGTTTCGCGTGCGAATGCCTAATATCTAGATCACTGAGCCGTGATCCAACAGTATTTATGCCTAACTTCAACTAATCGACAATATCGCGCGATCATCTTCTATTGTCTTCGTTGGGCAACTACTTCACACTTGAAATTGTTTAGCCCCACTAATGACGGCTTCTCATTTGAACTTCGAGAATTATCTCGCAAAGCTAGTAACCAATGAGCGCACGATAAGTGTCCAGGTTTTCAGTGGTGATCTAACATTGATCGGTTCAAGATTTCAATGACATCTACCTATAGATAAAAATCCAAATGGTATTAGGACAGTGTTCAAAGCTTCTTCTTGCTGAATTCCTTCAGTAACTTAATATTGTCAAGATGAAAACACTACGAGTGAAACATTTTGAATGTCTGATGCAAGAGACATAAAAAAAGTACCAATATACACTCATATAAAATCCAAATTGATATAAATTATACACAGATTGTTTATAATGGATTATGAGTTATGTGTCATCAGCTTGTCAAAATCTCAAGATTATATTACAGGAAGCATAAGTACCATACTGTAGTATCATTGATCGATCATTGAGTAGTGACCATTGTAATATTTATCTACTCGATTAAATTGTAATTTGGCCACTAGTCTAATTAACTCGACGGTACAGTACAGTTTGTTTTGGAGTTAATTAGTAAGAAATCTCGGATCTAGGTTTCATGCTAGTTGATATTCATCAGCTAGGCGTACCTACAGTCCTAAAGGGACTTATACTCATGTCAATAAAATCGGATCAACGATAGAAACTAGACAAACATGACATAGGTTGATCCTCAATGGCCGATAGTTATGAATATATTAGTGGTACAGGTTATTTGTAGCTAAAAAAAAAGCTTAGTATTAACGTCTGTGACTGTGAATGACTAGTGAGATTCCGAATCCAACAGGGAGCATTAGTTTCCTTAAGATTTCCAAGTGCCAGACATCGTGAAACCTAATGTAACTAGAATTTTCTGATGACTAATTCTAATAATCTAACACTGGAACTATAATATCATCGAAAATATTAAGTTACATATTTATTATTCAATGTGTATAACCCATGTATGAGTTTAGTCCCAACTTCTGAGTATAATGTATTGTTGTTATGATGAAAACATTTATTACAACTCATTACTTAAGTAACGGGTATTTCTCACGTACTGACAGATTCATGGATCATTTATCACTACCATTGTAAACATGATTAAGATAAGTTTGTAAACACTGAATAATGGATAGTATATAACAACAGATATCAGCTAATGAGGTGATTATTAAACAAGAATATATAGTAAATACATTAAAGAATAGTAACTGAACACTTTACTAAGTTACTATAAACCATCGTAAACAATGGTTGGAGGCTATGGGTGACATGACTCAGAATCGATCACAATGGTGTAGGTTTATATACTCTCTGTCTTCCCTTAAACTATGAGATTAAAATCGCTTCATATCTTTCTTTCTACGTACTAATTCTTTCTTCCCGTATTATATCATTATATGCAATCTTTCGTTTATATATTACCACCATTGAATTAACTACTTCTATGAATCCGGTGTTCATCTTGTTGTGTTAATGAGGTATGGCAACTTGGACCGATGCATATATGTGCCTGGTCTCACGTCGTAGCTGACTGACTGACTGAATCATTTGCACATCATCCATCAGTTGTGTCTTACAAAATTTAAAGTTCCTTCATTCTTGTTGTTATTACAATTACTGTTTGTTTACATTCCTGTTCTCTTCAATTCGGCCTTCTCAATCTTCTGCCGCTAGACATTTGTGTTACATACTACTTAGATCTGTAAACATAAGCAGGACAAATCACACTACTACTATTGTAGTGAACGATAAAACAAGTGAGGACAGTCAAATGTATTTGAATACAAAATTACAGAATCTCTTAGTCAAATCTGAGAACTATACAGTGAATACTTCATTTGCAAAATGACCATCAATCGTCTCAGACTTCTTTGTTCCTTCATTTCCAAATCAATCATTCTTTGTTCTCGTTCTCTTTTCTTCGATCTTCTTAACCTTCTACCTCCAGACATTTCATTTTCGATTGATGATACATACTACTTATATATGTTGACATCAGTAGTACACATCACACTATTACTATTTATGATAATATTCGTAAATTATCGAAGCATTTTAGCATAAATCAATATTTTTTCTGTCTCACAATTTATAACTTTAAATTTATTAGACTTAACAAGTAGTCTTTATCAATAGACTGTAATAAGTGTAGAACAATAATGTCAATGTATATTCAATCTTTGTTCCATTCAAATAAAATGTAAATTTGCTACATTTTCATCTGGTTAGAATCGTTACCACTGGTACAAAGGTACAATGTAATTTCAGTTATAAATAAATAGTTATATAAGAGAAGGGTTTTGTGGATATTGTAATAATTTAATAGTTGAATTCATGAACCAATTGAAGCTAGACCACCATTACTTACTTACTTACTTACTTATGCCTGTTACTCCTCGTGAAGGAGCATAGGCCGCTCACCAGCGTTCTCCATCCAACCCTGTCCTGGGCAATCCTTTCTAGCTCCTTCCAGTTGTAATTCATCGTTTTCATATCTGCTTCTATTATCCGACGCAATGTGTTCTTTGGCCTTCCTCTTTTTCGCTTCCCTTCAGGATTCCAAGTTAGGGCTTGCCTCGTGATGCAGTTTGACGATTTGCGTAATGTATGTCCTATCCATTTCCATCGTCTTTTCCTAATTTCTTCTTCAGCTGGAAGTTGGTTTGTTCTCTCCCACAGAAGGCTGTTGCTGATGGTATCCGGCCAATGGATGTTGAGTATCTTGCGAAGACAGCTATTTATAAATACTTGTACTTTCTTGATTGTGGTTGTTGTAGTTCTCCAAGTTTCAGCTCCATACAGTAGAACTGCCTTGAAATTCGTATTGAAGATTCTCACTTTGATATTGGTTGAAAGTTGCTTTGAGTTCCATATGTTCTTCAATTGTAAGAATGCGACCCTTGCTTTGCCGATCCTCGCCTTTACGTCTGCATCTGAGCCTCCTTGTTCATCGATGATGCTTCCCAGATATGTGAAGGACTCTACATCTTCCAGAGTTTCGCCATCAAGAGTGATTGGATTGCTGTTCTCCGCTTTGAATTTGAGGACCTTAGTTTTCCCTTTGTGTATGCTGAGGCCTACTGATGCAGAGACTGCTGCTACACTGGCTGTCTTCATCTGCATCTGTTCGTGTGTACGTGATAGGAGGGCTAGGTCATCTGCGAAGTCCAAATCGCCTAGTTGATTCTGATCTGTCCATTGTATTCCGTGTTTTCCTTCAGACCACCATGGAGAACCTGGAAGCACTGAACAGGCATTTCGTGAACAGTGGAGCAGTTTTGTGGATAGATTGAAGTTAGATATCAACACCGTTAGAAACCATCAATTTCAGTGGTCTAAAAGTCAAGAGTTCTAGTGTGAAAGAATAACCAGTGGAGTTCAACTGGGTCTGTTATGAGATAGTAACTCATTGAAGACAATGATAGATGTGTTGCTCAATTTCGTGGATTAATTGAAATTGGACATTAACACTGTTGGATACCAGCAAGTTCAGTGGTTTAAAAGTTAAGTATTCACGCACGAGACTGATAGGTCCTGGGTACGTATTTCGCGAGGCGGGATCGTAGATGAGCATTGTTGAAGAGTCCCATGCTAGGACAAAACAGTCTTCCAGTACTTCCATGATGGTCTAGCTTCAATTAACCTATGAATTCAACTATTAAAGTTTAGAATTAATCAAATTTCTCTCAAAATCTAACTAAAAGGATAAATGATTGCTAGAAAAGAGAAGAAAAACAAATGAACAATACAATACATACTACTTACTTGTAATAGAACTGAATTTTCCAAAAATACAGCCAATGGTAATTTACGTAATGAATTCGTTGTAATCGACTATTTGAGGACAATGGTAATACGAAGGAGGAGAGAGAGAGAGAGAGAGAGAGAAAAAAAAGAGAAATATAGTAAAACAGAATAGAAAAAGGAAATATAGACAGAAAATCAATAAAAGGGAACAAGCATAAGATCGATTTTTTGGAAGTAAACAACAAAAAAAACAGACAAAAAAGATAATCTGTTTAAGATAATCACTAAGGTAATTGATCATTATTGTAAATTGATTAATCGATGAAATAATAGTAGTAGTCAAAATCATGTTTATCTAATCTATTGAATCAGTCAAGAATAAAGTAGAGTCTGGTACATATTATAATGCATTAAGTCCTATGATTAAATACTTTTAATTGTAGAGATCATGAGTCAATTGAAGCTAGATCATCATGGAAAACCTGGAAGCACAGAACGGCCGTTTCGTCCTATTGTAGGACTCTTCAACAGTGTGCATCCATGATCCCGCCTCATGACATTTGAACTCAGGATCTATCGGTCTCGCGTTCGAACACTTAATCTCTAGACCAACAGTGTTAATGTCTAACTTCACATAGCTTTAACCTACTTATATCTCCTACTTTCATAGAACATACTTCATAGTGAAAGAGTAACATAAAAAGGACTGATGAGTAGTATACTAATTAACCCTCTTGGTTAACAGATGAATATTTCGAAGATGTTATAGATAATGGAAGTTAACAAAAAATCAAATGACCATTCTGAATCTATGTCAAGATTGATTTAGACACCGATTCATTAAGACTGATGAGAATTAAAAGATAGGTAAAGTAAACTACGTATTCAACAATGTAAAAATCTATGTCAATCTAGGCAATGATGTACGGTAATCCTGAAGCAACATTTTTAATTTAGTAGGAGGAAAACTCGTCCTCAAAATATTGGTATTATTCATCAAAGCGTTCAGTAGACACTGTATTTTGTCAGAATATTTCTCAAATAGGATTGTATCATTTGCGACAAATGATCTTTCATGAAGAAGATCAAAACTTGAAAAGTTAGATAAATAATCTGTGACTTCTAAGATTATATCTATGACGATATCAAGTAGAAATGTAGATAATAGGCAACTCTGACTAACATTGATTGAAGGTGACAATTCCGAAAATAGTTTGCCATAATCTCTAACTTGACTTTTAGTGTTTTTAATGATCTTGAGTGCTGTTAGAGGTTGTCCACATCGTGGGGGGGGGGTTCTCGGGGCACTTGAAAGAGAAATTAGGTTGAAGTAAGCCTTGGTGACCTAAGAGCGTGATCGAAGTCCTCAAAGGACAACTGATTTAGGTCGGTCAATGCAATTGTGATTAGTCACAATATTATACCATAGTCCTTGTCTTACTTTCTGTCTGTCTCTCTGTGTGTATTAACTTTTCATGTTTCAATGAATTCATTAAAAATCAACAGTCAATATTTCAATCCTTCATGAAGTTATTCGTGACCTTGAGTAACTAAGTGGTAACATCTCCATTGAATAATATCTAACTCAAATCCTACACTGGGTATTAGTCTGTCAAAAATTATAGGTTTGGTTTATTAACAATTATCACATAACATAAATCTTAGGTTTAGGATATTTTCCAAACTAATTTCAATTAACTGACAAAATATAGACCATACCTATTCAAATAAATTAAATTGAAAATTATGAAACTCTAGAGTTTTACACATTTAACTACTACCCCTAACTCGGGGTCTGAAAAGTTGGACAAATGAAAATCTCGCAAATGCAATGAAAATGATCTTGGTGGTGTCTTTTCATAGTATTCCGACAGCACACAATAGGTTCTAAGCGTTCTTCAAGCCCTAACGCTTCAGGTTGGGCTATTTTGTTTACTACCCTACATATGTGTTGTATGCAGTATAAGCTATATGGCTATGTAGAGCTGAAGGTCTCATATAAGGCTGGAGGTTCTCCACTGGTATTGCCGATAGTTCGGCATTGATTTAGCAAGTTTTGCTGACTGTTCATGTGCAAAATTGGTTTGTTGGTTAACCAACTTCATTCATATTGGTGGTTGCTCTTCAGTGTTCTCAGGGGCCATTGTCAGGCATGTTGTCATTGCTAACATTAATTAGTTTGACTGTTGTGTAAGCGGAATAGGTCAACTTTGGCCTATTCGTGATGTGCATAATTGATTCACGCGACCATTGAACGGAATAACTATACATACGGTGTGAATGTGTATATGAATGGTGCGAATGGTTCACCAGGGTGCTTGGTACCTGTGTTGTTGCGACACAGGATTGAACTGTACTATTCAGATTGTAGCGTTAAAGCCTATACTGTGTCTGGTTCTCCTGTGAAGCGGGATTGAGCTTTACTGCTCGCGTTATAAAATTTAGGCCTGGAAGGTGTCTCGCTCTCCTGTGAAACGGGATTGAGCTGTCAGTCAGTAACAACGTAGAACTTCGTACGTACGTACATCAGTTCGAGTTGCCACACCACATTAGCACAGAGATGCAGTGGTCGATTCAAATCCCATAGTGGTAGAGGTAGCAAGAGTATAAGCAGTAATCGGGAAGATTAGGGTTTGGAGATGTTATTTAAAGAGTATAATCCAGTGAAACAAATTTGGAAAGAGGAAAAAAGGGACATGAAGAATTCAGAAGATTAGAATTTGGGAGAACACAAAGAGTGGATGCACCTGCGCCATTGCAAACGATTTTGAGCCATGTCATTCAGGGTCTCTAACCATCGGTTGCTATCATCTCGCGGTCCCCAACCAGGTAGTCTACACCTACCAACATGACTCAGTCCACTTGTCAGTGACTTCATGGACTTGTGCCATGTTTTGGTTTGGCCGCCCCTACCCTTCTTCCAATCTACTCCTATACCACTGAACATAGCACGTCGAGGTAGTCGGTGGTTGGGCATACGTAACACGTGTCCCAGCCATCTCAACTGATGAAGTTTCACTACTTCATCAATTGATTTGCCATCCTTACCTAGTACCTGTTTCCTAACAACTGTGTTACTTACTCGATGGTCCCATGATATATGAGCAATGTTTCGAAGACACCTATGATCGAATACTAGTTTGTCACGTGAAAGTCTGGATGGTGTCTGGTTCTCCTGAAAACCAATGTAACATTAGCCTGGCCCACAAGGGTATATTATATAACTAATATTTGATTGAGAATGATAGTTAATTATTGATATAAATTCCACAAATATCTACTCTACTCTAACTAGTCTGACATAATAGTATCCATGGTCACATAATATTAATAAAAGGTGTAACTAAAATAGAAAGGGTCTGTATATCAACTAACATTTGCATTAAAAAACCATAATAATTTCATGGATAACGCGATAGCGTTTAAAGCGAACGGTACTGGCTTCGAGTCTCGAAGTGATCATCAACTCTGAGATGCAGATGCATCCAGCTGACGAGTCCCCAATAGGATGAAAAGCGCGTCAAACGGGATTCCACTACTAGCTACTATCCATCCATGTTTATAAAACCATATTAAATTAATGAAATGGAATTATTCATATCTGTCAATTATGATGAAATGAAAACAAGTCTTCGTCAATTATCTTTTTTAATTAAAATATCCTTTCATTGATATAATCAAACTTTATCAGCTAGATACAAGAGAATATATTGGTTAATTATGCTGTTGCCGATGATGTTCAGAAATGAAGTGAAAAGCATTGAGTTCGAGCCCTGTTGTGGACATCAGCACTGGATGCCCCCAAATGCCCTGGTACGTCCGAGAGTGGGGAGAGTCCGCTCTCCCTCTCCAAATGCCCTCACATGGCCTCGTGTATACAACCACTAACAGGGAAGTCCGACTCACAGCCTTCTCGCAACACCAGTGTTGTTTACGAAATCGAGAGGATGAAAAGCGAATATCCGACACTTCATCCAGATTCGGCAGCGCACGGCGCAACAACCTGGTAAGCTCCACCGCCAGCACCGGGGGGTCACCACCGACCGACAACCCCGCCAACCGGAACTTCTGTAGTGCCTCCTCCCTGTCCGCTGGGCTATCGAGCTTCGCCACCAACCGCTGCGTGACTGTCCCTCATGTCATCTTCCCGCCAGCAACGTCCAAGCTGTCATACACAGCCTTTGCCCTGCCTCTTAGCAGCGTCCCCAGCACCACCAGCTTCGCCACGGTCTCAAACTCCTTCAGGATGCCCACCACATCTCCGTCCTCGTATTCCTCTGGCCATGGAATCTCCATACTTAGTGGAGCCAGCGACACCAAATGTAGTGAAGGAGAACACAGGTGAGGATAACTGGAACATTACAGTTACTTGGTAAAATAGAAAAACTATATTATAATACCTCATTTGCAAAATGTTCAATAATTGCCTCAGACTTCATTGTTCTTGGATTTCTATACTAATTGCTTTTTATTCCCGTTCTTCCTTTCTTGATCTTCCCAATCTTCTGCTGCCAGACATTACATTCCTGACTCGCGTTATACACTACTTATGTCAATACAAGTAGCAAGCACCACAACCGGATTAGCGGACACGGATGATCTACCTAGATGAGTCGGAAAACTCTCATTCCAAACCAACGGTGCACATGGGCTCCAGGATCCTAAGGAAACAAATAGCGTATGAACCCATTATTGTTCACCTGCTACCATAGAACTGCATCTCCTGACGTTCCTCCACTCCCTTGTGGATCAGACCATTAAGTCAAAGGCTTGGGGTGTGTCCTCTTAAGAAAACCGCTTGCTCCGGTTTGGGCACCCAAGAAGTATTACAGCCCACATACAAATCAAGTGACTTGTGTGGAACATATGTATTCGGTGCCCTTTTGTAACAATATTTATTTGTTCAAATCAGTAAATCGTCCAAATATATCTAGCTGAGGAATCTCAAATAGAGTGAAAAGAGAGTCTTAGATTTTAATACTAGTCATAAACGATCGATTCTATAAAAGATGTTGAATTATTATTTGGATAAAGAATTGAGATTTTATTCAATTTGAAGCAAGTTTATTTCATAAGTTAACTTTGATTGAAGAAAACATTGAAAGCTAAAATGCATCGAATGTCAGTTTTATTTTAGGTTAAAACTATTCAACAATGATCATATTGATAGATTTATGTAGTATCATTTTATCACGAAAGTTATCATCTTATAATTAATGATGAATTTCTCAGATGTTCCAGTTAGAAACTATATTCTAGTGAAATTCTACTCATTGCTTTCAAGCTGAGATATATTTTCGAAATTGAATGAATGAAAAGTGAGCTACCAGTTCTGATACTCCATTTTTGAATACAAAGGAACCAATTAGAAGAATTAGAAAACTATTGTTGTACAGAACTCCACGACCCTATAGAAATGGGTGATGCTTCATTGTCTTGTGGATTAGAACTTTAGAAGATTTCATCTTTAAAAAAAAACCCATTTACTTCATCCTGAGAGCTCAGAATATATCTTAGTCTATACCTATATAGGAGGGTGAAACTGGTGTCAAGTACTAACATCAGTTTACTAATTTCTTTGCATAGAAAAGGCCATTGGCTTAAAGCATTTAAATTTATTAGTTGTGTTATATTTTTTTTATCAGAAGGGGTTTTGTGGAGAATTTATTAATTTAAATAGTTGAAATCATGAGTCAATTGAAGCTAGACCACTATGAAAAAACTGGTATCTCCACCCATTCTGATAATAATCATCTGTTCACTAATGACTGACTTCAAGAGACACTCCTGGAGTTCTAGTGGGAAGCTGTGACCAGTGGAGTTCAACCAAGTCTGTTGTGAGATATCAACTCAATGAAGACAATGGTGATGGTGGCACAGTTACTTGGATTGTTTGAAGTTAGACATTAACATTGTTCGATGCCGGCTCAGTGGTTTAATGGTTAAGCGCTCGCGCGCGAGATTGATCTTGCGAGGTGGGATCGTGGATGCGCACTGCTGATGAGTCCCATACCAGGAAGTAACGGTCGTTCAGTGCTTCCAGGTTTTCCATTGTGGTCTAGCTTCAATTGACTTATGATTTCAACTATTAAAATTATTTTTTTTAACCAACCGATAGCTTGTGTTCTTTTTCTGATTACATTCACTCCCTTTATATTGTTTACCCTTAGAAAAAGTCTACACAGACACACACACACACACACTCATGTTTCATAAATCAGTTTGATAAATACAAACAACCTTGACCTGAAGTGATGTCAGACCTATTTGTTCATTATTCATACACTTGTTGATAAAGGTTAGGAATTTATGAAGAAAAAAGAAAAGATCCCTTAATGTATATTTTCATTACTAATGTACACTATATATATTTACTATGAATGAACAAAGATAGTATATTATTAGTAGTATAGGCAAAGAACGAATAATCATGTTGCTACCGGCTTCATTTACATATGTTATTGTATGTGTATAGATGTGAAGATGAAAACAGTTGAAATACATTTCACTTAGTAATAGGGATTAGAAACTTAAAATAGAATAAAGAGAACCACCTGCTGTTCATTCAATGGTTTCATGTTATAAGTATACAATTGTATTGTGTACTAGTGTATTATAGGTATCTCTATGTATATTTCTACATATAGCAATATGACTGTAACCATCTGCCTGCTCCCCTGTATAAACTATTAATACAATCATATTAAAAGTAAATATTAACATAGAGAATCAATAGTAATCTATAGTTGCCTATTTCATTGTTTATGTTATAATGTACATGTGTAAAGTTAGATAAGGAATAATTTAAAGCGCCAAGATGATTTATTGTGTATACATTATACAATATAAAGTTATTACATTTGAAAATAGTTAATTAATATAAAAATAAATGAAAATAGAATTCAATTTCTATGCAGAAAATAGGAAAGTTAATCGAAAGATATTACGATAGAATGTTATAATAATTGCATTCACGCCGTTGTTGCTACGTTGACGTGGTGGTCGGGCTTGTCTATCGTGATGAAGCAAATGAGCTATACTGGATGGAACATACCTTCCTCAAGGTTCTACCATGTCAGACAGGTCGGTTGAAGAGCGGAAAGACTAAAAGCAACAAACCCAACGTCCGAAAGCGAAGTCGTATTGCTGACTGTACAGAGATGTGGTGGTAGTAAGGTGTTTCCTTCAAACAACCAGCATAACAGCGATGATGCCTTCACACAAGAAGGGGTGGGGTTAGAAAAGGTCGACCTAAAAATGTACATCTCGCCTTATCCCACGGATATCCGTCTCCGGCGGTAAGGTTTCAACAGGTATGGAGCCAACACGAAAACTACTCACAAAAAGGTCGTGTGTGACCGACCTCAAGCACTTGTCCCTTGGGCACTGTGGTCACGCTCTCAGGTCACTAAAACCATCTCTAATCCAATTTCCTTTCCAGGTACCTCCACAAGAACCCTTCCAAGGTGTGAGCGACCAGGAAGTGATAACCGCCCTCATACCTTTAACAACATTCAAGACCATTGTATGAGTACACAGTTTACATAAAATCATTTTATAATCATGCACCTTAAATTTATACTCTATATTAGACATAAGATGATGAGTCGATTAAAGTTAGACATTAACACCGTTGGACGTCGGATCAGTGGTTTAGAGGTTAAGCGTTCGCTCGCGAAGCCGAAGGTCCTGGGCTCGATTAGTGGATGTACACTGTTAAAGAGTCCTATACTAGGATGAAACGACCGTTCAGTGCTCACAGATTTTCAACAGTGGTCTAGCTTAGATCGACTGGTGAACTTAACTGTTAAAATTACAAGAAAAAGACGTTGAGAATGCGGGAGAACTGGACAATAGTTTCGCCATAAAATGAAAATCCAAAGTAGTGTGTTGAATGTGATGGCTCGATTTTCAACTACTAGGTGGTAGATTCAAGTCACTTTCCATCTAATTCATTTTTAAGGGACTAGTATTATCAATAGCCATCATATAAACAATGTGTTAGAAGATTAAGTGCGTAAATTTGTACTTGGTAAATGGGTACTGTAAACAAATGGTTAATCCTATCCTAAATTTGAACCCAGGGCTTATAGGCCTCACATTAATCGCGTTACCTTTAAACCATTAAGTTAGTATCCAATGATTTGCACTTCCAACGTTTTAGTCGATTCGTCAGATTATGCAATCGTCATTTATTCCTTAAAGAGCCGCCCAAAGTCTTGATACGGCTGGAGTGGGGAGTATTTGAACACAAAAATATTGGTACAAAGCGGCACCGAATACATATGCGCCACACAAGTCACTTGATTTGTGTGAGGGTTGTGATACTGCCTGGGTGCCCGAACCGAAGCAGGTGGTTTTCTTAGGAGACCACACCCAGAGCCTTTGACTTAATGGTCTGATCTACAAGGCAGTGGGGGAACGTTGGGAGATGCAGTCCTATAGTAGCCAGTGACCAACATTGGGTTCGTACACCATTTGTTCCTTCAGGATACTGGAGCCCATGTGCACCATTGGTTTGGAATCAGGGTTTCCCAACTCATCTAGGTAGATCCCCCGTGTCCTCCAACCCGGTTAAAGAGCCGGATATTCGCTCTTCATCCTATCAATTTCGTCAACAAGACCCATGGTGCGAGATGGCAGTGATTCGGACTTCTCTGTCAGTGGCTGTCTATGTATGGACATATGAGAGTATTTCTAAAGGAAGAGCTAACTTTCCATACCGTCAGCCGTACCGGGGCACTTGGTGGCCTATTACCAACTATTCATTATCTATCACAAATAAATGAAATGGTTAAGACATTTAACACTACTTGTCATTTCCTTAAGTAGTATTTTACATTCTCACTGATGAGGTGTCGCACAATAGGATGAAACGGCCATTCAGTGCTTCCAGGTTTTCCATAGTGATCTAGTTTCAATTGACTTATGATCTCAACTATTGAAACTACTATAATATCCACAAAAAAAACCTTATTCACTTACATTTTGTTGATCTAAATTCATCTGTTGCTGTGTTGAACCAACTGATACAAATCTTGTTGTTGATATATTTTGATCATGATCAATGACATCATTTGTAGTTTTTGTCTTCTCTCCAATTTCATTTCTATCATTTGGTATAACCAATTGATATGTATTAGGCATATCAATTAACATGGATTGTAAACGTTTATATGTATGAATTAATTGATAATAAATTGTACGTAGTTTACGTTCTTCTAATCTAGACCAATTAGATAATTGTTGTGATGATGAAATAGGAGGTAGTTGAGATATTAACTGACCATTCATACTACTGTGATGTTGTTGTTGTTGATGGTGATGATGTGGAGGAAGAGGAGGAGGAGGAGGAGGAGGATGGGTACTATGTTTTGATAAATCAGTAGTTTTAATAATATTTCCTGGTATATCAGATGAATCTGATGAATCTAAATCGGATTCATAAAAAGATGTTGATGTTTTTGTAAATAATGTCCATAATGGTGGAAGATTATCTAATAATGTATTGAATATGAATAAATCTGATTGATTATTTACTTTATTAGTAGTATTGTTTTGAATGATTTCACCATAAGTTTGATAATAATGTCCAAATAATAAAGATGATGTTGAAGAAGATAAGAATAATGATGATGGATTCAATAAATAACCAGATTGTTGTCGTTGGTGTTGTTGAGGATGATGTTGTGATGATATTTCATTGATACTACTACTTCCAGCACCGGAATCTGGAGTTTCCCAACCAAAACCATCACCACTTCCATTTAAACCATTTTCATTTATATTTTGATTTGTATTTCCTTTAATAAATGAACGTAATTGAGGATTCATTAATTGTAAATTATTATTTAATCGTACATGATTATATTGTCGTTGTTGATAAGTTATTGATGGATTGGAACCAATTGTTGAATTCAATGATATAGAAGGTAATTGATTAGGATTCATTAATGATTGTTGTCCATGTAAATGTTCATTCATTTCATTTGGTAAACATTGTATCATATTTAATTTGTTTCGATTTAAACTAACATACCATGAATTGGCATAAACACTATTACTATTATTATTGTTATTAGTAGTATTACTATTATCTAATAAACTATTAGATGATGTAATCACAGATTGTATAGAACAAAGACCAGGACTTATAGGTGATTGAGAAGAATGTTGAATATGTTGATAACAATGTAATTGAGATAAATTAGTACTATTTACAGTAGATACATTACCATTAAGTGAAGTTGTTGTCATATTGATATTTGTTAAATTAGATAAAGATGTTGGGAGAATTTTTTCATAACCACCATCTGATGTTTCATATTTATCTAATATGGTATAAGCTAGAAATTCAACTTGTTGTCTAAAAAAAGATAATTACAAATTACAAATTAAGTTTATAATTGAAAAGATTTAGTAAAGATTAATTTTCAGTTTAGGAGTTGTGGAGATTGTGAAGTTTTTGATTGAGATCATGAATCGATTGAGGTTAGACCACTATTGAAAACCTGGAAGCACTAGGCGGCCGTTTCGTCCTATTGTGGGACTACTCAGCAGTGCGCATCCACGATCCTGCTCGCGGGATTCGAACACATGACCTTCAGTCTTGCGCGTGAACGCTTAACCTACTGGACCACTGAGCCGGTATCCAATGGTGTTAATGTCTAACCTCAACCAATCCACGAAGTTGTGCGACCATCTTCCATTGTACTGAGGTAGACACCCTGTTTCTACCCGACACGGATTAGCTCCGCTGGTCACGATAATAATAGGACGAAACGGCCGTCCAGTGCTTCCAGGTTTTCAATGATGGTCTAACATCAATCGGTTCATGATCTCAATCAAAAAGATTATTTTGATTTATAGGTGGTATTTATGGTGAGACTATAATTTATGGACGAGACAATCAGAAGCGTTCTAGGGATTTCAAAGTCATAGCGCCAATTTCAGTATCTGATGCTCATGTACGACTGGTTCACAGTGGATTTTGAGACAACGTCGGGTTACTAAGATGTTAGAATAAGATTTTTTCGCATGATTCAGATTGAGATTAAGTCAAATTATGACAATTGTTCGATAATAAAAGTACCGGTTACACTGGCTGTAGCCAGGTACTACAATATATACGGATGATTTGGAGAGAGTAAAGATGCCTACATAGACTTGGTTATGTGCATCGTGTCGTTATCCATAAGCGGTACTTTTTGGACCCAACAACCGGAGTGCACATAAACAATATTGAAGTTATGTGGTCGAGGGTGAAAAAGTTTTTGCGACTTTATCATGGCTCCAGAGGTCGACTAATATGTAGCCATATGGATGATTTCCTCTACTGTATTCATTACGATTTTAGAACCTCTGTACCTTTATTCTAACCTTGACAAGTTTTTGAACTATTTAAAAGAAATGTATCCACTTTATTTCTTTGGTTTTGTATAACATCTTTTTACTCTATATTGACTGTTTGCTGATTGGCTAATATTCGTCAAGGTCACTTAAGATTCGTTCAAAGGTCGTTCATAAATTAGAGTCTCGCTGTATTTATCACAGACTGATCTCGTTTGTAATATCACTGAAAGTCAAAAATGCCTGAACAGCTGTTTCATCCTAATATGAGACTCTTAATGAGTAGTATGCGATGAAAACACTACCACAGGTCAGATCCTGATTTTTAATAGAAATCAATCTATGATGAATACAATCTATAAAGAAAGATTCAATGTACAATGATTACAAAATTTCCTGAAGTACTGTAAAATTTTGATATGTCTTCTGGATTGAACGCTATTTGTTATATCTGGTCGTCGCTGATTGTTATGTCGGAGACGCTTATCATTTACATTTCAAACGAGGGACCTCTGCAATTCCCATGACGCAAAAGTAAGAACACAAACACTGGTATAAGTGATGATGACAACGACGACGACCCTACTCGAAAATACATTCATTTATAAATTTATATCAACAAACTAATTGATATAACTTTTTTTTCATCGTATAAATCAGTTCGTCGAATTCAATCATAATCAAAGTAGATTGTACTATATATGTGTGTTAGCCTAAATTCACTTACCATCTTAACATAATAAGATGAAATTAACAAGTTCACTAAAACATATCCAATCATTGATCATTATAATCATTCGGAAGCCAATCAGTTATTTTGTATCTAATAATCATATTCAAAACTCCCCCTGGAGCCCCTCTGGGTTAGGGGCTACTGACGGTCCCAAACCCGGATAAAGGATGAGGTTTGGGCATGGGGTTAGCGACTCCATCCCGTAGAAAACCAACTCGCTAAAAAAAACCCTAACCAGTAACCATATTCAAACAAACAGTCAATAAATTTATAGACTGATGTCAAGTTTTGGTTTATCAAACCTTAACTTTCTTTTAACCTACTACTATACCATGTAAACTTGCCTCAGCTCAATCGGTAAATCAATATTTTCACGAAATTACAGAACATTCTAGTCAAATCTGAGAACCATACTGTAAGTACTTCATTTGCAATATGTCAATCAATTGCCTCAAACTTGACTGTTCCTTTTGCAGAATGTCAATCAATCGTTTCAGACTTGATTGTTCTTTCGCTTCCACACGAAGTCTTCTTTGTTCTTGTTCTCTTTTCTTTGATCTTCTTAACATTCTACCTCCAGGTATTTCACTTTCGATTAATGATACACACTACTTATATTTGTCGATATCAGTAGCATGCACCATGCTATATGGATGATCAAGAGAGACTTTAATACATTTTAATATCTCTCCTTTATAACAACAGGAGTGAAGGAACTGTAAATTTTGTTGGGCACAACTGATGGATGATGTGCAAATGATTCAGTCAGTCAGTTAGTCAGTTACAACGTGAGACCAGGCACATATATGCATCGGTCCAAGTTGCCATACCTCATTAACACAACAAGATGAACACCGGATTCATAGTAGTTAATTCAATGGTGGTAATATATAAAAGAAAGATTGCATATAAGGATATAGTACAGGAAGAAAGAATTAGCTTGTAGAAAGAAAGATATGAAGTGACTTTAATCTCTTAGTTTAAGGGAAGACAGAGAGTGTACACACCTACACCATTGTGATCAATTCTGGGTCATGTCACTAAGAGTCTGCAACCATTGGTTACGATAGTTCTGCGGATCTCAACCAAGTAGTTTGTATTTAACAACATGGCTCAGATTAGAAGTTAGTGACTTCAAGCACCGATACCACGTTTTGGTTTAGCTGCTCCTAACTTTCGTCCAACCATTCCCTACACCGGTTAGCATTGCACGTTGTGGTAATCTGTGTTCAGGCATACGCAACACGTGATCAAACCATCTCAGTCGATGAAGATTCACAATTCCATCAACTGCTTTACTATCATTCCTTAATACTCTGCGTCTAACCTCACTATTACTTACCCGGTGATCCCAGAAGATGCAAGCAATATTTCTAAGGCATCTATGGTCAAATACTAGTAGCTTACGAGTATCTTCACACTCAATAAATGACGTACTATTTAATGTAAACGTAACTTTAATGAATTACTGAAAAATTAGCATTGGACGGTGGAAAAATATGACACATTTTTATTACATTAAAATTTGTATAGAACCTATATCACGAATAACATAGATTTAAGTGTGTGCACTTCAATTACTTTAGATTATTCCATCTATAAACTTATGGTGATTGTACACAATAGATCTGCTTAGTAATGAAAACAGAATTGTATGTCAAACAGTTGCCTACCTCAAGGGGTAATTTTAGCTGGTGTCAGAGTAAGTTAAGAGAAAGCCAGGAGGCTGACAAAATAGAATATGATATCAATACATGAAGTCTATTACTGTTGTTCTGATCCTTATTGATAGGTTTAGGTTATCTGGTTGAGATTCAGACAATAATCATGACCAATAGTTGTAGACGTTGGGTAATACTTAAAATTAATCTCATTTGCCCTGATGTGTTTTACTGATTGTCTTCCTCTGAATATTGATTTCCGTGGTATTCCTTCTTACATACTTTTCCGTCCAGTATTTTCAAACTATGCTCTCAATGTTCAATGTTTCTCACTATCGTTGCTATCGTGATTATTTCAATTTCTTTGCTATTCATCTTTATAATATCGCCTTATCATGCTATTATGGTATGGTCAATTGAGCCAATACACATTTATTCTGGCCTCTAAATTTATTATGACTGGGTGATTAACTATTCAGATGAATACTAGTTGGAATTTCATTTTCACTCATATATAGTATAGTATAGTATAGTATGGAACTTCGCCAAGAGCAGAAACACAAACACTTACCTCAATGATTTCAAATTATGCAAATTGAAATGATTCATTGAAAAGATCTGTTGTTGTTGTTGTTGTTGTCCAACTCCAGCAGTTGTATTATTGGTAGTATTGGTTGCATTATTTAATAAATCATGTTCTTCCGAAGAACCAATTGAAGAATACAATTGATATGGTGATGTGGTAACAGAAATCTGTTGTGAATTATTATATCTTTTCAATTGTTGATGATGTTGTGATTGATGTAATTGAGATGATTTATTATGACCATGAAATGATGAAGATGATGTAGACGATGATATTGTTGAGAATGGATGCTTTAACATTTGATTATTTTGTGATTGACGGAATATAGTGACAGCTAATTCCGTGGAATATAACTATATCAAATAATAATAAGCAAACAACACAAACAGATTTATTTTTGGTTCAAAAGAAAAGTAAAGATTCGTAAACAACCATATTATTGGTGGTCTGAAGGTTAACCATCTATCATAGGGTGTGAAAATCCTGAGTCCGACTACTGATGAGGTCATGGATAACGACATTTGAAGAATCCCATACAAGGACAAGAAGGTTGTACAAAAGCTTTCTGATTTTTAAAGACTCTTTAACTATTGTAACTATTGCAAAATGTTGCTTCAGGATTGGGTTACATCGACACCCGAACTAGTGATAGGGAGTGAAGTAGTTGAGTGTGTCGACTGCTTCACTTATCTTGGAAGTCTCATCAGCCCTTGTGGTTTGGTGTGTGACGAAATCTCAGCACGGATACAGAAGGCTCAACTAGCTTTTGCCAACTTGCGTCTTTTATGGCGTAGGCGAAATACACGTCTACCAACCAAAGGACGCGTTTACTGCGCAGCAGTTCGTTCCGTCCTACTTTATGGCAGTGAAACATGACCGGTAAGAGTAGAGGATATTCATAGGTTACTAGTATTCGACCATAGGTGTCTTCAAAACATTGCTCGTATATCCTGGGACCATCGAGTAAGTAATACAGTTGTTAAGAAACAAGTATTAGGTAAGGATGGCAAATCAATTGATGTAGTAGTGAGACTACATAGGCTGCGATGTCTGGGACTTGTGTTACGTATCCCTAACTACCGACTGCCTCGACGTGCGATATTTTCTGATGAAGGAGTAGGTTGGAAGAAAGCTAGCGGCGGCCAGACCAAAATATGACACAAATCCATGAAGTCACTGACAAGTGAACTGATCCATGTTTGTAAGTGTAGACTACGTGGTTGGGGACCGCGAGATGATAGCACCCGATGGTTAGAGAACCTGAATGAAATGGCTCAAAATCGTTTGCAATGGTGTGCGCAGGTGCATCCACTCTTTGTGTTCTCCCAAATTCTAATCTTCTGAATTCTTCATGTCCCTTTTTTCATCTTTCCAAATTTGTTTCACTGGATTATACTCTTTAAATAACATCTCCAAACCCTAATCTTCCCGATTACTGCTTATACTCTTGCTACCTCTACCACTACGGGATTTGAATCGATCGCTGCATCTCTGTGCTAATGTGGTGTGGCAACTCGAACTGATGTACGTACGTACGAAGTTCTACGTTGTTACTGACTGACTGACTGACTATAATATATCGTATTATTAATAAAAAGTTATATTCCAAAAATAACCAGGTCACTTTGACCCCATCTCTAAACATTCGCTCAATGTTCGATTTATTATTTATTTATTTATTTAAACACATACATATTGGTACAATATGGCACCAAATACATATACGCCACACAAGTCATTTGATTTGTGTGTAGGCTATGATACTGCCCGGGTACCGAAACCGCAGAAGGTGATTTTCTTAGGGGGCCACACCCCAAGCCTTCAACCTAAAGACCTAATCCACAAGACAGTGGAGCATTATCAGGAGATGCAGTCCCATGATAGCCGGTGACCAACATTAGGTCCATACGCCATTTGTTTCCTTAGGATCCTGAAGCACATGTTCACCATTGGTTTGGAATCAGAGTTTTCCAACTTGCCCAGGTGGATCCTCCGTATCCACCAACCCAGTTTAAGCGCCGAGCATTTGCTTTTCGTTTTCTCAATCTCGTAAACAACACCGGTGGTGAGAGAAGGCAATGAGTAGGACTTCCTTGTCGGTGGTTATATGCACGTGGCCATGTGAGAGCATATGGAGAGGGAGAGCTGACTCTTCTCATTCTCGGCCGTACCAAACCATTAGAGGGCCATCAATGTTCGATAATTTTCAAGTTATGAAGGTTAAAAGATACCTGTATATGTTGAAATTCATGTTTATTTATGTGTACTTGTGGTTAAAATATCATCACTAAGCTGATGATTTATTTAATTATTTCTTTTTCCAGTTTAGTTGGCATATGGAAATCGTTGAATTTTGTAAGATTGAATTACTGACTGTCTGTAGTCAGACAATCAGCATGCTTGGTTACAAGCAACTGATTTTGTGAGATTACTATCAGAATTCCAGTGAGAATCCATGACTACAAGTGGTTAAACATGTCAGATGTTGGACAAATATCGTCAATGTCCATGAATAAAGAAGGCATAATGCTGCAAAGTTAATAATGCAAACTACTGGATGAAAACTCGGTAATCTAAGGGTCGAATACTCACTACTAGTCGTGATAGCCTAAACTTCAATCCCTGGTAGGGTCATGAATGAGCTCTATTGAAAAACAATGTAATTCTATACGCGTATGTAATTATACATTAGAACATCCTTTCATCAGAAACTGATTTCAATTAAAGAATGGTTCAAAAAAACAAATAGTTATAAAGTGCCACATTATGACACTTCACTAAGGAATCAAATTTAGAACTTTTATTATGTTTCGGTGCAAATACTGTTTCTCTCAATTAATATTAAACTAGAATCAATGATCGTTCGCAGGTTTTTTCAGCATTGAACGATTTATGATATAGAACCTTCATCGTATAATATCATCAGTGAGCATTTACTTTACCTTCTTATTCATTGATTTCATCACATTCATCAGATCTGAGAGACGGTCCGGATTCATAAACTAAGATATACTTTTCATAAGAAGCCATTTTACGAGCTACTAACCTAAAGGTTTAGTTTGAAAATTAAGACAGTAACTTCACAAAGTACAGTTGTAAGTTTTACGAAAGATTCTTATGGCATTTGTTCTTTATGGATATTGAATCAGTGGCTTGAAATTAAGATTTTCCAATTCTCGTCAGTGAACTCTTTATATCTAAGAACCTAGTTGAATCACTAGATGTCTACTTTCGCTTCCTAACACTTGTAGATAAAAAACAACATATAAGAACAGTGAATGAAAAGGACTTCCCCTAGAATGAGCTATAATTTTAGGGTTGTATGAATGTATTTTCAAAAGGGAGATAAAACTCTCTTCATCATAAGTAGATTAACTTGTAAATTCATCGACAAATATAATTCATCGGTAAACAATAAATAATAAAACTCTTTAAAACTAATTCATTCATATATACAGCCCCCAAATGACTTGGTGGGGAGAGTCCGCTCTCCCTCTCCAAATGTTCTCATATGGACACGCGTATATAGCTTAGATGTTGGTTGGAGGTAGTCAACAGGAAACCCTGTTGACTACCTCCAACCAACATCTAATCTCAATACATAGTGCCCGCAGTGTCGAGTCACCTAGACTGGTGGCCACATTGCAACATGATCGATAGCATTCGATCTGCACTAATAAGGACTAGACAAGCATGAGATTGATCACCACCCAGTGATCAATCAATTGTGACGCGTATATAGCCTCTGACAGGGAAATCCTACTCACTGCCTTCTCATGGCGAGGGTGTTGTTTACGAAATTGAGAGTACGAAAAGCAAATGTCCGTCGGGCGCTTTAACCGGATTGGTGGACATGGAGAGTTCATCTAGGGGTGTTGGAAAACCCAGATTCCAAACCAATGGTGCACATGGACTCCAGCATTGAGTCCTAGGGTAGAACTAGCTCTCTTAGACTGGATCCCAGTAGACAGTCGTTTGTGCACTGTCCGACTAAACGCGACAATAAGGACTCGGAAAGATAGGGACACTCGTCGTTGCCTCTTCGTCGTCTCTGCCTATTCTCCCACTGACTGCAGCTCGGATGATGTAAAAGATGAGTTTTACAAAAAGCTTTCCGACCTTCTACGAAAAGCTAGGCGCTCTGATGTAGTAATAGTGGCCGGTAACTTTAATGCTCAAGTAGGTAAACTAAGCGAAAGAGAAAGACACCTAGGTGGATCTTATAGTGTTGTGGCTCAAAGAACAGATAATGGTGACCGTCTGTTGCAGGTAGGCTCAAATAACCGCCTATTCCTTACAAATACTAACTTTAAGCATAAGGAAAAACATCTTTTAACATGGGGACCCCCTAATTCGTCCCAACGTTGGACCCAAATAGATCACATCCTGAGGGAACAAACGACGTATAAACCAATCGTCGATCACCGGCTACCATAACACTGCATCTCTTTACGATGCTCCACTACTTTGTGGATTAGACCTTCAGATCGAAGGCTCCAGATGTGGCCCTCTAAGAAAACCACCTGCTTAGGTTTGAGCAAAATAAAATTCATACATATATATATATATATATATTTACCTGATTTAAACAATCACTAATTTCTAATGCAGATTCAGATATTTGTATAGCTCGTTTCATAATTGAATAATTTGATTCAATTTGATTTAATTGACATTGCATTTGATCAGCATTTAATTTAATTTCAGTTAAATTAGCTTGTAATACTAAACAATCAGTTTGATAACGTATTAATTTAGTTAATAAACGATATAATGTTAATTGAGCACATTTAGCTATATCCGATAAACGTGTATATGGAGTGATATTAGCTAAACTAATTAAAAATAACATTAATGTATTTGGTGTAAATTGAATAGGTATATTCATTGAATCTGTACAGAATTCTTCATAATCAAATTGATCAAATAAATATTGTTCAAAATCAAATGGTAATATTCCTGTTATATTAGTACAATAGTTAAGATTATTGACATCATGATTGGTACCGGTACCAGTACCAGTACCGCCAACACCATCATTAGTAGCATTTGTTGTTGTTGTAGGTGAATATAATTCATTACCAAATAAACTACATGGAATATTTTGTTTATTATGAGTTATATTATATTCATAATATTGTTTCAATAGTTTTGTAATCCATTCTGGTTCAGGTAAATCATAAACATTCGAATTTATTTGTGTTGTCATTGTTGTATTTGTTGTGAATGTTGTCGTTGTTGTTGTACTAGTTACTTGGTTATAATTTAAATGTTCAGATGAAATAGTCTAAAAGAATTAAATAGTCAATTGAAATCAAAATAAAAGAGGTTAGATCATTGAAGCTATGTGAATAATATGTTATATAAACGTTAAAAACCATAGGTCTAAATGAGTAAGTATTCTTTATATTAGCAAGGGGTTTTGTGGATATTATAGTAATTTTTAATTGTTGAATTCATGAGTTATTTAAAGCTAGACCATCATGGAAAACTTGGAAGCAATGAATGGCAGTTTCATCCTATTGTGGGACTCCACGGCAGTGTGCATCCACGTTCCCGCCTCGCGAGATTCCAACCCAAGATCTATCGGTCTCAAGTGCGAACGTGTGGTGTTTGAATTAACTAATGATTCTTTTGTAGTTGTTGAATGCTCGATTTCGAATTCTAAATACAGTACATTCGTTGTGCCTGTGTCTTCTTAATTCAATTGCGTTAATCCTGGAATTCCTAATTCATACTATAGAACGCTTAGCCTCTAGACTACTGAACTTGACGGTATCCAACGGTGTTAATGTTTGACTTCAACTAATCCACGAAATTGAGTGACAAATTCACCATTGTCTTCAGTAAGTTACTATTTCATAACACACCCGGTTGAACTCCGCTGGTCACTGCTTCTCACTAGAAATCTAGGAAATAACTCATGAAGCCAGTCGCTAGTAAGCATATGTTGATTAGTATCCTGATCCTGGGTTTGAATCTCGCGAGGCAGGATTATGGATGAGCACTGCTGATGAGTTCCATAATAGAACGAAACCGCCGTCCAGTACTTCCAGGTTTTCGATGGTGGTCGAACTTCAATTGACTCATGATCACAACTATTAAAATTGTTCTTGATATGGTTGGTAAGAATTAAGTCTGATATGTGGAATTTTAATTTCATCAATTAGCAAGTAAATGACCTATAAATTACTGTATCTTACAATAGTTTTTTATGCTTAAAAGCGCGTTTAATCATGTTTACTTTTACGTTTTTTCTCTTTTTTTTGTTATATACATAAGCTTACTATAAAATAATAAACTCATCCATTGATGATTACTGAGTAGTGACCAATTTCACATTACTCCTTTAATGTTGTTCGAATTCGATCGATCAAGTTTGCAATGTGACCACCAATCTATATAACTCAACAAGGGATCTATTATGTTTTGTTTTTAGGCTAAGTGGGAACTTTAGACACTTCTACTAAGATAATTCAGACAGAATAGCTTGTGAGAAAGATTAGTACAAATAATGTGTCTTCTTCAGGATACAAACGCATTTAGTTGATGAGTCTTAAATAGAGTGAAACATGTATCCTGGATTTCCCTGCTAACCACATACCAAATATTCTGTCAGTTTGGACTAAGAAGTATGAAGAGGCCATCCATTTGGAATGCATGTAGAACAACATACATTGATCACTTGAATATTAACAATGGGAAATTACAAAATCACCAGCCTTTATTGTCTGGTCTGTAACGAAATCTTAGCACGGATACAGAAGGCTCAACTAGCTTTTGCCAACTTGCTTCTTTTATGGCGTAGGCGAAATAGACGTCTACCAACCAAAGGACGGGTTTACTGCGCAGCAGTTCGTTCCGTCCTACTTTATGGCAGTGAAACATGACCGGTAAGAGTAGAGGATATTCATAGGTTACTAGTATTCGATCATAGGTGTCTTCAAAACATTGCTCGTATATCCTGGGACCACCGAGTAAGTAATACAGTTGTTAAGAAACAAGTATTAGGTAAGGATGGCAAATCAATTGATATAGTAGTGCGACTACATAGGCTGCGATGTCTGGGACTTGTGTTACGTATCCCTAACTACAGACTGCCTCGACGTGCGATATTTTCTGGTGAAGGAGTAGGTTGGAAGAAAGCTAGCGGCGGCCAGACCAAAATATGGCACAAACCCATGAAGTCACTGACAAGTGGACTGACTCATGTTGGTAGGTGTAGACTACCTGGTTGAGATCCGCGAGATGATAGCAACCGATGGTTAGAGACCCTGAATGACATGACTCAAAATCGTTTGCAATGGCGCAGGTGCATCCACTCTTTGTGTTCTCCCAAATTCTAATCTTCTGAATTCTTCATGTCCCTTTTTTTTCTCTTTCCAAATTTATTTCACTAGATTATACTCCTTGAATAACATTTCCAAATGTTTCCGATTACTGCTTATACTCTTACTACCTCTACCACTATTGGATTTGAATCGACGATTGTATCACTGTGCCAATATGGTATGGCAACTTGAACTGATGGATGCACGTACGAAGCTCTACGTTGTTGTTTACTAACAGACAAACTCATATTAATCTTGTATTGTTTATGTATAAAACTTTTTTCTTATATTAAGATAAAGAGGAAAAGCATAGGATATGGTTTTAAAAGAATCTTGTTTAGACGATGTAAACTGATTGACATAATGGATCATAATATTAAGAAAAAAAGAATTCCTACTGTGTAGATAGTTAACTAGCTGCGTAGATGAAAAGAAAAAGTTAATATTTACAAAGGATTATATAAAGTCTATTCAATAAAGACATTAATTGAAGTCATTAATTCTTCTTGATAAAATATTCCTTTATCCATGTTAAACAGATTACACATTATCACTTTCATTGTTCAAAATAATACTTGTGGAACTTTATAGAATATAACAGTTTTTTCAAATGCTCTGGTATAGCTGAGGATGGGGAGAATCAACTCCACCCTCTCCAAATGCTCTCACATAGCTACGTGCATACAACCACTGACAGGGAAGTCCTACTTACTGCCATCTCGTACCGCCGGTATTTTTTACGAAATTCAGAGAACGAAAAGAGAATGTCCGGTGCTTAAACTGGGTTGGTTTATACGGAGGATCCACCTATGGGAGTTGGAAAATTATGATTCCAACCCAATGGTGAACATATGCTCCAGAATCCTGAGGGAACAAATGGCGTGTGAACCTATTGTTGGTCACCGACTAACATGGGACTGCATCTCCTGACGTTGCTACACTGATTGGTTGATTTGCTGTGTAATTTCAGCTAAGTATACTACTATTTCTTAAAGTTAACATTATGAAGTGATCTTAGTTTACACAACCATTGAAAATCAGGAAGTGCCGGACAGATTTTTTGTCTCGGTATGGGACTCCTCAAGATTGAGCATCTATGATACCATCGAGCATCGAGACCATGACATTCAGGTTTTTAGACCATTAAACCGGGATTCAATGATATTTATGTTAAACTTAAACCAATTCGTGGTATTGTGTAACCATATTCAATTGTGTGTGATGGATGATTATCTCACACCCTGCACAGTTAAGCTCCAATAGTCACGGTCTTTCACTAGAACCCTTAGAATCTCATTTTGAAGTTAGTCAATAATAAATACAGAATCATTACTAGTAAACAGATTTCGTGGAGATTGTTGAGTTTGCATCGATTTCACCACACAATAATCTTAGTTAGACAATTAATTCGATTATTGAATGGAACCAGTATCAATTCAATCCACTGGTTATAAAATGATATACTATGTCATTTATTCGATTCAATTGTAATCCACCACTATTTTCTTAAATTTATAATCTCGGTTGAATTCACGAGTTGATCTAAGCTAGACCATCATTGAAAACTTCGAAGAACTAGACAATCGTTTCGCCCCCAATATAGGACTCCTCAACAGTGCGCATCCACGATCCCACACCAAAAGGAATCGAACCCAGAACCTTTGGTTTCGCGCACGAACGCTTAACTTCTGAACCATTGATCCAGTATTCAACGGTGTTAATGTTTATCTTTAATTGATCCATGATCTCGCACAAACCTTTATTTATTGTTTGATATGGATAACTGTTTAAATACTACAATCTTCACAAATGTTTCTATCTAATTAATAAACATAAACTTATAATGAAAGTTGATCATATAAACTTAATCACTATGTCAAACCCGATAAGAAATCAACTCTTAAATTTAAATAGAACTAGTTCATTCAAACTTATCATATAACATAGAGAAGAGAAAAAAAAAGTTTCTATGGTGATCAAATCTGGAACGTTACACTTCGGTAAACGATAAATCATATAGAGTACATAATGTAATTTGATATCATGTTCATGTTCAAATAAGAAGAAAATCGATGTATGATGAAGAGAGAGAGAAAGGGAGAGAGGGAGGGAGAAAAGTTAGTCAACTTCTTAGAGAGAATCATTTCTAAAAAGTACTACAGAAAATACAACTGAGGTATTTGAACTACAAATGACTTTTGGTTGAATAAAACATTTACATTGATTGATCACTGAGTGTTGATCAATGTCATGTTTGTCCAATTCTTATTGATAATGAAATTTTATAAATGAAGTTGCAGTGTGGTCTAAATGACTCAATAACAACATCTTGAACAGTAAGACTGGATAATGTAGGACACTTATCTCATAAGTAACTTAGACTAGTGGTTGTATTACAAAATAATAGATAGGATTCAATCTGTACTAAGGACTGGACAAACATGATACTGGTCAACACTCAATGGTCAGTCAGTATTAATATCTCAGCTCCATATGAGGTCAGTTGTGGTCCTCTCGACCTCTCGAAACTGTCGATATATCTTGCTGACAAGTGTCAGCATGCATAAAACCTAACTGCAGGATTTCTGATAGACTACTTCCAACAAACTAATAATTAAACACAAAACTATCTACTTCTAAACATTTAGTACAGTATTGAGCAGTAGTGAAAATTATTGATTAACTGTAAGCCTGAACAATTTATAAGGATGGTAATGGTGGTGTAAATGATGGGGAGTAGTATTTTAATTGTCATATCACAGCTTAAACGATTGAATAGTCGATCTAGTACAATGTTCTAAATTGTAAGAAAATGAAATGGTGGGGTAATTTTACCTGTGTACTAATATATATACTGACATGGAGTTTATATGCTTCCACTGAGTGTTCATATTATTTATGGTCAAGTTCATAAATATATAAGTTTGGCAAAGTTATGAATAAGCAAAAATGGATA